GAAATAAAACAGCATGACCTTGCAATAACTTTGGAGTTGAGCTATCCAGCTGTCTAATGCTCCTCTGTACTCCATGGAAAAGTGGCAGTCGGCTAGCAAGAGGGGAGCAGCTGGTGGAGCAGAGTGAGCTGGCAGCCCTCTAGTGGGGGTGAGAAAAATGAAGGGCACCAGCAGCTCAGGAAGCAGGTGTAAAAGTCAACTGGAAACCACAGGAAAGAGGATTTGACAGGAAAAAAAAAATAGCAACAAAACAACAGCAACTACAGAACCCAACAGAATTTGACAACAAGGTGGCAGAGAGCAGTCTTTGCTGAAAGAGAGTTGCTGTAGCCATACTGGTGGGTGGAGAGGATGAAGAAGCAGTCAGCCAAATGAGTGAGGTAGGGAAAATGGTGTCTGAAAGAGCTGGGGAGGTCAGACCAATACCCATCTAGCTCAGGACCAAGTCTCCAGCAGTATGAGTATGTACTGTAGGAGTGATTCATCCTACTTAATCTCCCAGCCTTTGCCAAATTATCATTTTGGGGCTTTTTGACTCACAGGTGAAAAGAGCTCTTCAGTTTTCTCTGGTAAATCTGCCCTTTCTAACACAAATTGCTAAACGGGTCAAGTGATACTCTGTAAGAGTCGAAGCTGACAAAGAAAGGGGGAAACCAAACTGAGAAAGAGTGGCTGAGTTTTAAACTATACAAAAATGCCCATGGATTGGAGTAGAGTGGACCAGAAGAGATAAAAAACTAAAAGAAGAGAAAGATTGTGATATAGTTCTACTAAGGAAGACAGGACAAAAGAAAGAAAGGTGAAAAACAGAGGAGTGTAGCTTTGCTGAACAGTGGAAGAGGAACTGGGCACATTTGTCTGGTGTGCTGAAGCAGGCAGAGGTGCAGGACACCAGCTCCAGGCCAAGGGTGTTAGACAGCAGCTCTTGGTCCTGTGTCTCATAAGGGAATTCATGCAAAACTAAGGCCAGGGTTGAAATCATGCACCACTGTGGACTGCAGTTTGGCCAGGGAAAAAAAATAAACGGGATTTGAGGCTGAAAATACCGGTACAATCAAACATGGAAATGGTGGTAGCCAAGGAAGAGGCTGAAGTGTCAATCTTTACCAGTGGTGTGGATCGAGGAAACTGAGCTGGAGGGAAGTGCAAAAGAGCTCTGGCAAAGATGTGGAAATGTGGCCGGGGAAACACAAGGCTGAGGGGAATGCTGGGTCAAAAAGAGATTCTTGTTACCTGCTTGCAAAACCAAAGGGGCAGATGTCTGAAAACACTACAAAGCTGAAGAGAGGGATGCACTAGTGGAAGGGAAAGGGAAGGGCAGGGAGTCTTCAGTGCTAAAGGATGTCCAAAGGGACCCTGGCATCTGTGTGTTGCTTCTCAACTGGCACATCCATCCTGAGCCTTTTCAGGAGGCTGAATTCACCAACACCTTTGCTTCACTGCTTGGTTGGCTCTAGTTGCTATTGTTGCTCTGAAGCAGCACAGAATTATGCAAGAAGATTTTGCTGTCCTAATTAGTCAACACTAATTACAGTGGCGTTTTGATAATTATCGATGATTCATAAACTGCAAGGGCTGTAAGTTTGCAGCCATAATGGCATAAAGACTTTTGTACTGGTGATTTAGAAAGGTGAAAATTCAATGAAGTAGTAAGTGCTATTTTGCCTAATGGCACTGCTACAACAGTAAGGTAATTGGTAATCACTGATTAACACCAAAGCATAAGAGCTAAGAAAGTGCTATTGACTTTTTCTAATTATTTGTTTCATAGCTGATTCCTGTGGAGATCGCTTAGGAGATTACAATGATACTGAAAATAATATTGGGGAGTTAAAAATGTTAAGACAAACATTTTTTCACTGTTTTTAAGCTTTTATTATTTCTAGGTAGTTATTTCTTTGCTTATAACACAGTGTCTCTTCCTCTGCTCACTGAAATTGGGGATTTTCCCACTGGCCTCTTTGGAATCAGGCTTGTCTCTGCATGTTTTACCAGAAAAGTCTGTTATGAGCTACTACACTAATTGATTTAGGTTGCAGATCTATTAGCAGTCCTTCCTGGCAGTCAGTCAAATAACGAGAGCTTTATTTAAATTGGAAATCATCAGCAATGTGATATTCACTTAAGTGAGGAAATGAACAGAGGTATGGTCATGGTATCACTAATACTCAATGTCCACATGGTCAGATTCTTCTGGGAGTTCAGAACACGTGGAGTGAGTTCCTTCAGGCAAGCGAGAGATCGTAGGACATTTGTGAAGGCCAGGCACACATGTCATAATTTTTGCTGCCTCCTTTAGCTGAATTTTGACAGAGAAAAGTGAGTCAGTCATTTATATCCACAGCAGTTTGGGCATATAAATCCAAGGGTCTGATTCAGGTTGTAAAACAAGACTCAGAACTTAAAGACCAGAAAGGAGGATGTCAGACACAGTTCTTGCTGTATCTAATGAGAAGGTTTATTTATCCTTCCCATACTCAGGTTCATTACCAGTCTTAATTTGACAGTCCCATCTGTTTCCATGCCTTATGTAAGTAATGAAGTTGAGCACTTTAGGAACTTAAAGAGTACACATAGCAATTTTTCAGGTATAACAGCACCTATTCTGCATTTCTCTGTGGTTCTGACCCTATCATGTCTGCACTGAGCAGGACACGGACACTTTCATCTACATCAAGGGTCTCCGATTTTCTAATTTTCACCTGGTTTCCCAGCTGTTAGGACAGGCAGGAGCACCCTGAATCTGGAAGGAAGGGAGGAAAAGAGAGAAAGAGCTTGGGGTTTTTTGTCCTTCTATTCAAGTGCTCTCTATCCATGAGGCTGACACAGAAACAGCCGGGAGAAAAACTCTGAGTCAGAGTGAGTGGATTATTTTGTTGCTGTTGTTTTAAAATAAACAGGATAAGAAAAGTGGCTAATCTATAAAGTAATCTCTGTAAAGAACTTGATAGACTTGCCTGCATTGATCTCTGTCTTGGACACAGTTATTCCATTTTTGACAAAACAGAATGACTAACACTGGATGTCTTCTGAGGTGGTAGAAAGTGAAAGGCATTCATTTAAAATGTGACTTCCCTGATATTTCCCTGGCATTAATAAATGGATAATAAAATAAATATCTGTGTCTAAACACACATGGATGTGTCTGTATTCTTCTTTTGTTGAAGAATCTCATGCTCTTGATCCACACACTCTGAGACAGATTGAGCTATGTATTGTCAAAAAATATGTTTTCGCTCTGAGACAGACTGAAGTCTGCTATGTAGTCTTATAGATTTGTCTAATGAGATTACCTCAAAACTTTTTTTTTAAATCAAAATATATGATGATAAAAGATTTATTTAAGAGTTTCCTATTGAGTACCATTGGAGTGGGAATGTGCTGTTTTTCTCTTTTGGTTGGGGGGAATAGGAGTTGTGAGCTTTCAGAGGACTGTTTCTTTAACTTACTCCTAACTCATGGTAATGATGAGTGCTAACTTCCATTTCTGTTCAGTTGTGCTTACTGGAACTAAGCTACATTCTGCTACAGCAGGAGCTCAGAAGTGAAGTTTTCTCTGAGAAAAGGAGAGGTTAACTACACTTATATTGGGGGCAGTTTTTGCTTTGGAAAACAGTGGCAGGCTTTGTAGTTTAATCTTTTGGAGTAGTGCCCGTTACCACCTTCTGACGTACGTTGTAGGGCTGAGAAGAATCGATGCGCAGTGGTGCATGAAAGCCCAACGTGTCAATTGTAGCGATACATAATGCCACTGTCTCACATGCAGGCAAGGCTGTTAATGCTTAACACAGTATTGTATTCTCTGAAGAAAAGAGTAGAATACCGGGAACTTCATATCTTTTAAATGTTTATACACATTCCTTTGAAAAATACATTTTTAAAGGATTAAGTATTGCCTGTATAGAAGGCTCAAATTAATGAGCACCACAGAGAAAAATGCCACAGAAATAGGGCTCCAGAATTCCTATGAGCCAGGGAATGGCTTTGGAAATCTGCCTACTATTAGGGTTTTGGTCAGATTACATGTCTTGCAGGGTAATTGCTTTAGCTCGCCTACACCTGGGACACCTGCAATTCCAGTAACCAGGAAAGCAAAGAATCTGTCCTTTTGGAGATTGGTAAATTGCAGCTAATTCTCCATATGTATGAACGTTTTCAGGGTTTAAAGACTCTTCTCGTTAAGTATGTGCACCTGCGTGAGGACATATGTATTGTTCTGTTGCTTAACAACCTTCTGTAGCTAATGATCTGAAGTGAAACAAATCAGTAGTGCACAGGAGAAGTGTACTGAAATGTATCAAGACACAAAAAGTACTAACGTAGTCCAGTTCCTAAGAAGTATAACAAACAAAGCAGCCACAGCCCACATGTACTGGCTTTCTTGCAGCAGGTTTGAATTATGATGTGCTCTTATGTCTTCTGAAAATGTCATGGCTCACATGGTAGTGATATTTTTACCTGAAAACTGAAGGCTATGGCTCTGGAAAACAACTTTAAATCTGCAACCCAAACAAGTTCCCTTTTCTGAAAAGTCACTTCTTTCATTAACAATCCTATTAGTAAAACATTATTATTTACAAAATATCACAAGTCAATTAAAAAAAAAGTTTTAAAAAAGTTTACTAAAAGTTCTGTATTACATTCAAATTCATAACTTTTGGCCAGAGACAAATAGCTTTCTGTAGTCTCCAGCAAAAGCAAGTCCTTCTATGTAACCTAGGTACTCTGTTGGGGAAAGAGGGAAATGTGTATTTCTTGCCGTATTCCTTATTTAAAACCCTACCATATTTAACTTAAAAGGCAAGTAAAACAAAAATAGGAATTTGATAAAGATAGTCATGTAAGATGCACTTAAAAGCAACTAAATTAAGGCTGCTAGTCATATGCCAGCGTGCCTTTTAGCATCTTTCATGGTTCTGTTTGATCTTTAATTCTTGTATGTAAAGTGCTATCTTCTTAAGAATCAGACTGAAAAAAAAATCTGTATTTCTCTTCTTAAGCAGGCTTCAACTACAGAAGTACAAGTTGGACCCATGAGATTGACACAATACCCAATTCAGGTAAGATGCTCCTTCAGTTTCTGAGAGAGCCAATTCAGTGTTAATAGGTGAAGAAATTAAGGTTCAGCCTCTACAGTTAAGTATACTTTAATTTCACTTGTACAAGAACTGTGAGATAGATAATGTATGTTTTGTGTATCTGATTGCTTGAGAAGAGAACTACAAGTAAATTAACTTGGTAAATAAGACCTTTAGATCTCCATTAACATCCCCTCAGTCCTTGTATCTGTCCTGCCAGTAGGAGCGTGTGTGTGTATGTGCATCAACCAGGAAAAGAGATGCCTCTGTGGATATTGGAAACTGTTCAGTTTTGCTATACCAAAGCTGAGAGCATTATGAAATTTACGTATATGTTCAGTTTTGCTGGGTTTTGCACAACAGGACAGAGAATTGTTTTACAGACCACCAATCCAAGAAATCACATGACCTCCAACAAGACAGGTTCAGATTCAGCTAAGTAGCAACAACTCTCATCCATACGTGCTTCTTTTTCTCTATGCTTTGTTCCTGTGACAGTACCAGATGTCAAGTTATTTTTTTCACCCTATAGTGGATGTTGAAACTCTCAGATTATAGGAAATTAAATCATGTTAGCCTTTAGCATAGTTTTAGTGATACATAATTCATCTGAATTAATTTATGGGTCAGTTAATTCTGTAAAATACAGAGACATTTAGTGACCAGTTACCCTTTCTATGAAAAGCCTATGTGTGGAAGAAAGGCATCATAAAGCTTTCTTTTTTTATGTCTTTACAATCAGTCTTAATGATGACTTGATCTGATGAAATTGCTTGTTTATATTGTAATAAGGCTGTGGAAGAGTGGCTTCAGGTTCAGTAGAACCATCTTCGCTTTTGCAGAGAATTTTAAGATAGAAGTGTGGAACTTTTCACAGAAAAATGTTTTTAGATCATGTTCATCTTCAGAAAGATTATCAAGCTGATATTCAACAACCGCAAATACTCTCAGGGCTTTTGTCAGGATATTACTTCGTAGAAATTGTATTTGCCGAAGGGATAGTTGGATTTCTGTTGTTTTTAAAAACTGACATTCGTCTTGGTATCTTTTCATCAGATGGGGGTGTTATTTTGTCCTTACATTTCACAACTGAGAATCTGTGTAAGAAAATAATCTGTCTTAAGCAGAAATTATTAAGTAAAATCATTAACTGAAGCATTTTCCTTAAAGATGTTGCCATACATCAAATTATTTACAGTGAAGTAGAACACTTTATGTAAACCCACCTCCCTTGTTTGTGGAACAAGTCACATTACCTCAGATAATTCGGCAAATAAAGCATACATCCACACATTTAAAAAATGTGTGCTAATCTTTTATTCCATTTTGACAATACAATCATGTGTTTCTCTGTACAGTGCAAACAGCTACTGAATATCACATTTTAAATGTCTAATCGTGGATGATTTATCATGTTTACAATTGTCTGAGAAGTTAAGCTTCGTTTGTTACAGCAATTGCCACTGGGGCTTTTCTTAGTGAAGTTCATTTTATTCTGGTGTGTTCCGTGCTGTTATGGGACACCTGTGCCAACCTCAAAATGGCACATATTTTTTCTCTGAGAAGTGACCTCACTTGTGCCTGTGACCTGCCATAAATCATTTAATAGATTCCCCACTGGACTTCATGACCATGTATGTCAGAGTAAAAATCTGGTTTAGTTCGTACACAATTGTGACCCAGGTGCTCCTGGCCTTAAGAGGCAAAGGGAAGAGTCCAAAGCAACACAGCCAGCTCCCAACACTCCAAGCATTCCATATACAGCTTGTACAATTGCCTCAACTTTGTACCAAGGCTTGTAAATAGGAATGGTTTGATTTCAGAAATGACCATTTTCAGAAATTACCGAAGTACACGAAAATATGGTTATTATAAACAATTAGTGCACGTAAAAAAGGTATTGGATCCTCTTGCAGAAATATTTACTCATAAATGTTTGAATGTGTTCCTATTCAAATGCTGCACTTTTTCACCTTTTTGGGACATTTATTTGCTATTATCTCTTTCAAAGCGTTGACACTGTGATCTTCCCTGATGAGCTGCAACTGAAGCACGATGATGCACAGCATTTTGCTGCTCCCTCACACCGATTTACCAGCAGCCCCTCTGCAACTTTACTCAGAGACACTATGTCTTTTCCGCCTTGGAAGTCTCTTGCTGGGATAGGACGATTTGAAAATAATTAAGTAACTTCTTAAGTTGCTGTAACTTTCTTTTTTCATTTGGTAGCCTTCATGCAGCAAAAAGAAACCTATACGAAGTTTTTTGTCAAGAAACACAGATTGAACTTAAGTATTTCCTTGATCGTGTTGTTTATGTGGATTGTTATATTTTTGCCTTGACTTTGACAGGATTGTTCAAATATAGTTACATTATGTTTTGTTCATTTATAGTAAGCTCCATAGGAATGTTAATGAGAAAACATAGTAGTAATACTTTAAAACAACTTTTAAAGTTAATATTCTCGGAAGGATTTGTGCACTGATAATTAGCTACCAGTGAGAGATTGGATGGTTTAATTAAGCTCCATTATTTTACAGCATTTTGTCCTCCTTTATTTCCAAACTGGGAGCGCTAAGAGAAGGAAGATAGCAAAAAATGCATCACCCCCTCCCCCCTCAAATTTTCTTTCCACATAATGTTTCAAACTAGGAACAAAATAAAACTAATGGTAGTTGGAACCAAACAGAAGATTTTGTCAGAGTAGGGATTTCACTCAGGAATCAGAAAATCTACAGTTTGGCTGCATCACTGCTTTCCAGCATTTTGATGGCTGGGAAAAAACCCAGAGATTAGGAAGAATGACAACCATTACCTTGGATGTTAAGTGTCAACAGATCAAATCTGCTTATTGATAACTGCAATCAAAAACCTTCCAATACATTTAAACTTTTACATTCTTAATATTTACAGAAATTCTGAGCATATAATTTTCTTCCATTGTTTAATGAAACTCTGACTGGTTGTCCTGTCACAGTAACAATGATTGATTTTTTAAATTGTTTAGAATTCAACAATCCAGACAGCTAAAGATAAGAGGAAAGCTATTGTCACCTTTTCTAGCTTCTAGACTGATGGTGCTGAAATTCATGGGCTGACACCACAGCTGCATAAAGCAAGGTGGATAAAGGTTATTGAGCTTTCCTACAGGCATTTGGAGCAAAATGTTGCTATTTTTCTTGAACAGGTTGTATCAGTAAAATCAGGGGATGACTTTTATTTGTTAAGTTAACGCAATTATGCTTTATACATGACTAGTCTCTGGCTGATGACTTTTTGTGCAATTTTAATAGCTGTAGATAAACTTTTGACTTTTTGAGGCCTTCTTTTTCACAGCATATTTGCACTGAATTAGCCTTTTTCTTCATCTGACACAGGGCAGCATGGTTACTTATCAGTCACTATGGTAAATATGTGCAGCTGTAATGGGGAATGTCTGCATGACTTGGATGAATAAATCGGCGCTGATAAATTGTGTATTATGGGTCAAGGACAAAAAATTTATTCTCTCTGAAAAAACATTTTCTCTTAAATGAGAGGCACAGAAATACAGCTGTTTTCAGCTTCTATTCTGTGTGCCAGCTTGCAAACAAGCTTCCTACAGCATCTCCTTGATCTTTAGAGTGGCACCTCAATACACTTCCTATCTGATCTTGTGTGAACAGTTCCTTAAGTGTTCAGTTGAAATTGTCTAAACTACTTTATATGCTTAGGGACAATTTCGTACAATTTATTTGGTAAAAAATTCTCACATTTGAATATTTTTTCTCCTGTGCATACATGCTTGCCTATTGTTATTTTCAGCTTTAAAATAATATTGGTTAGTGCCATTTTTTATCATTAAAGAAGAAAGAACAAATAAAACTGTGTTAAATTTTGCCCATGTCTTCAGGGATGATAAGTGATAATTAAGGCAGCTGCTTTTCAGACAGCTCATGGCAATCAAAAGTGTGTGTAGCTGAGAGGGCCTGATGAGAGTGGCAATGATGTTTGAACACTCTGACTGGTTGCTGATTGAATTGGAACAGGAGCTAGGAAAAAATCATCGTGTGGCAAGATGGTTTTGTCCTAAATCCCAGTTCTTGTTTAAAACATTAACTATTGATTATCTATTGATGACCACTGTATGCCTTCAGAAACATTTACTACTGCATTGGTTGTTTTACAACCTGTGATTCAAGTTTGCCACTTTTAAAGCAGATTCAATCTTCCAAAGGGCAGAAGTATTTTTTAATAAATACTCCATGCAGAGGACTACTTTATGTGCTTAATATGGTGCTGCTGTTTTCCATCCCCTGCAGGTTCTGCTGATCTTTGCAAAAGAAGACAACCAAAGCAATGGTTTCTGGTGGGCTTGTGACAGAGCAGGATACAGGTGCAATGTTGCCTGGACTCTGGAGTCAGCACTTGAATGTTTCCTGGATAAGCACCAGGAAATAATTGTTATAGATCACAGGAACTCCAAATACTTTGATGCAGAAGATATCTGCAGGTAACCTGAAGCACCTTAGGCTTCTCTTAAGCTTCAGAATATACTGTATGAAACCAAACCACAATAATTTTGAACCAAAAAATAGGGGGAAAAAATGATAAAAACAACCAACAAAAAATAAGCGCCTAAAATTGTAGTAAAATGGACTACGATTTTGGGGACTGAGGACAGGAGGTTTGCATACATCTGTAAGAGAATAACAATATGAAAACTACACTATGCAAAAGCTGAACTGTAGGTCATGGGGCTTCTATCAGAGCATAAGCCAAAGCTGTTGTGAAACTATTCCCTGCTGTGGGTGCAGCTTCTTTCCTGGTTTACTGCTGCAGCAAAATCTGAAGCTGCAGACTTCAAAGGAATGTGTTTGTTTGTCCACAAGGTCAGGCACTGCCAGTTCTTTGCAACAGTTTGCATCAATCTTCTAGTCCACATGGTTGTGTCTAAGCTGCTTTAAGATTACAAGTGGTCAGTATTGGGATCCTTTGCTAAAATATACTGTTTCAATTGAAGCACACATTTTGCACCATACTGTGCTTCTGCCATGAAATTTGTCATGTTTATGACAAGGGGCATTTTAAAGCTCATATACTTGTGCTGGTCTAAGTTCTTCTGAAAGGGCAACAGATAAACATAAAGATTGTTTATTCCGAACAGTGTGATGTGAGTGAAAAAACCTTATCATTAGCCAGTAAAACACAAACAGAATGTTCGTCTGATAGCTGGTCATATCTTTTTTGGTTTCTCAATAATATGCAACATGGTAACATTTTGTTTATTCAGTACTTAATAAACAATAATCTTTCGTAATTTGCTATGCCCACTTTTCTTGCTTTCATGCCTTGAAAGCACTTCCCACCCTCTAAACAAAATTCTGCAATGTCTAGAAGGACAGTGGTAAATATGAGAGGGGATAGAGATTGTTGTTTAAATTAGTCAAGGGCGTTGAAGATGCTTTGCATGGACTGACCTTTCTTGACTCACGCATTCAGGGCAGTCTGCCCCAGATAAGCTCAGTACACAGGGGAAACCTTTGCTAAGTCATAAGAGTGGGTCTGAAAAGCTGATGTTAGTCCTCTGTGGTTTTGGAGCTTTTGCCTTCTTACCTGCTTAGAGCAAAATGATAAATCTGGTGGCAAAATGAAAATGGTTTGTCTAAATGGGGATAGTTAGGTTTGGCAGTGCACTATCATATTGTCTAGCCCCAGCACTGTCTTTCAGTCCTGGCTTTCATTTACAATTTCAGTGAAGGTACTCAGAGCAATATTGAGAAAGCGTTCAGTGTAACAGAGAAATTCTTGTTTCCTCAGGTCTATTCGTGCCACAGAGCTATCAGAGCACTCTGTAATACTTGCTGTGGTTCCACGCACGTAAGTATTACTGGTTTTTGAAAGATTTTTATTTTACTTCATATGAACAGCTATTTAATCTATAAAAGTTATTCAATAACAGAAAGTATCTTACTAGCAATTCTTACAGAGTAAATGTAGTATTTTTCACCTGAAATGGGCTAGTGATGTTTTATGTTTTATTTGAGTGTATGATAACTTTCTTTTAGTGCCAACAAGTATTATCCTCATCACCTTTATGACAGATTGGATAGTAAGAAAGTCAGACAGATATGTGTTTTTACTAAAAGAAAAGGAAAATAAAAATCCAAACCAGAAAGTTGTGTATGACTTTCTAAAGGAAATAACTAGATAAAAAACCAAACTGTTGTTTACTGAACTGGGTGATGGGGTAAACTTCAATCCTGTTGATGCTAAATTCACCAGAATGTTGTCGTTAAACCCTTATTCAGTAATTCATAACCCATGCATTTAGGAGGAATTCTTACTGACTTATACATTTCTCAAATACCTTCAAATACCCTAGTTAGAACTCCTACATACTATTAAATTTTTACTCATTTCCTAGACCAATTAAAATATTAGGAAATAGAGTGGCAGGACGACTATTACTGAATGATTTGAAAATCAACTAAATTTGCTGCTGAACAAGATTTTACAACTTAGCTCCAGCGTTATCTTAATAACATGTTCTGAGATTATTTTTCATAGGATATCACAGAATGTCTTTTCTTCATCACTTTTTTGCAATCCCCTTCTGTGTATGTAAAGAGATAGAGGACTTCTCTGGAGGATCTGTCAGGTTTACTGTAGGAGTAACTATCAAGCTGTATAAAAACTGCAAATACCTAAAATAGAAGACTGTAACACCAACTTCTGTAACAGTATTATTTTATGTATGTATTTAAAAACTCTTCTCACTGAATTCATTATGTTTAGAGACCTATATGAGATTCATGCCATCTAGTGCCTTAAGTGTTGTGTCCTCTTATAGTAAATAATATACCAGCCCTGTTTAATATCTGTATCAATTACCTGAACCAGGGGTTGAGTGCAGCCTCAGTCAGTTTGCAGGTGGCTCCAAGCTGGGTGGGTTATTGATCTGCTGGAGGGCAGGGAGGCTCTGCAGAGGGATCTGGGCAGGCTGGATCATGGCTGAGGCCAATGGTGTGAGGTTCAACAAGACCCAGTGCTGGGTCCTGCCCTTGGGTCACAACAACCCCAGGCAGTGCCACAGGCTAGAACAGAGTGGCTGGAAAGGACCTGGGGGATCTGGTGACAGTGACTGACCATGAGCCAGGGTGTGCCCAGGTGGCCAAGAAGGCCAATGGCATCCTGGGTTGGATCAGCAATAGTGTGGCCAGCAGGAGCAGGGCAGGGATTGTCCCCCTGTGCTGGGCACTGCTGAGGCCAGACCTCAAATCCTGTGCCCAGTTTTGGGCCCCTCATAACATGAACGACATTGAGGGGCTGGAATGAGTCGAGAGAAGGACAACAGAGCTGGGGAAGGGTTTGGAGCACAAGTCCTATGAGGAGTAGGTGAGGGAGCTGGGGTTGTTTAGCCAGGAAAAAAGGAGCCTCAGGGAGACTTTGTTGCCCTGTACAAGTACCTGAAAGGATGGTATACCCAGGTCAGTGTTTTCTTCCAAGTAGCAAGAGATCTGACAAGAGAAAATGCCCTCAGGCTGTATTAAGAGAGGTTTTGATTGGGCATTAGGAAAAAAATTTCTTCCCTGAAAGAGTTGCAAGCATTGGAACAGGCTGCCTGGGACAGTGGAATCACCGTCCCTCGAGGTATTTAAAAGATCTGTGGATGTAGCACTTGGGAAGTGGTTCACTGGTGGGCTTAGAACTGCTAGGTTAAAGGCTGAACTCAATGATCTTAGTATTTTCCAACCTGAATAATTCTGTGGTTCTGCGATTTTGTTTTGTAGATCTGCTGACCAAGAAGAGAGTTCTGTTCTACCCCTTCTTGATGCAGGCTTTGATAGGGTATGTATAAATTGCCTATGTAATATAGAAAACATAGTTAACTTCATAAATTACAGGCATGTCTGCTTCCTCAAATTGAAAATTACACATCCTCTTCTGTCAGAAATCTAATGATAAGAAACCAGCGGCAGTTGATTTAGTTTCATTTTCAAGAGTGTATTCCAGAAACAAGAAGTTTCTGGAAGTTTTCATCCACATGAAATGAGGAGTTCTGTGATCTAGCTAGTCCTTTCAGAATAGCAGCTGTACTGAGATTACCTTTGTTTGGTCTGGCTGGATAGTTGGTGGGGTTTTTTTATGACTGCACTAAGAAACAAGGGTTGGAGACTCTGATTAACATATTGCAGCATGCTGGCTCATCACTGGGGCCCCTCTGTGTGTCTCAGGCTGCTGGGATTTCTCTTCTAAAGGGACTATAAACCTGGCCCGGCCTGTGATGTGAAGATGAATTTTTTCCCCCGTTATGTCTGTTTTGTTGGTATGCACCATTTCTTCTCAGTACAGTTAGAGACTCTCCTGTACAAGCAGCAGAAGAGAACTGTTCATACTGTTCCTCAAAGGGCTTTGCAGGAGAGAGTAGAAAGGCAGGAGTTCTCAGCTCTGAAAACCTAGTTTCCTTACCCTCTCCCAGTCTTTGTGTGAGTGGCTTTGGATGGATATTAATGTTATGTTAGTCTAAAATAAACCAGCTGCACATCTTAAGTTAGCCATTCAAAAGGAAGCAAAAGAACCATATCTGCAGTTAGAATTAACTGTATATATTTTCTTTTATTTATTTATATATACATATATATATATAGGAAGAAATGGAATTAACCCAGGCAAAATCCAAAATCTCATTCTCCTATGCTCATACTGAGTCCAGTGTCTGAGCTAACTCACATTCAGCCCAAGTTTATTTATATAGCAGAACATGAACCAGAATTACCATTTTCAGATGATCTCCCAAAAAAAGAGGTGTAAGATCTTGCCTCTACTGTAAGGGTTTTGTAGGGGCAATGCATTTCTAAAGCACTTAGATGCTCTGAAAATTGGAAATGTGAGTCTAAGAGAAAGGTCAGCCCAAGAATGCCAGTGCTTTATTAGCGTGGTTTCCCTCTGTCTCTCTCTCTCTCTTTTTCTCCGGCTTTAATATTTTTCAAAGAAAAGTTTATTACTTCTCAGGTCTAGTGTTTCATTTGAACACAATGCAGAGCAATGTGTTTTGTGAGCTAGATTAAAATTGTAGGTGTAGTACCAAGTGAAATCCGAGGAGACTCAGTGGCTGTGATACATGGCTCAGTGGTACTCTCTGACTTGGAAGGAAAAATCTTTTTGCACCTGACAGCTGCGCTAACTACTCTCTCCTACTGTCCCAAATTTATCAGAGCCTGCATAATGCAATGATTCCCTACTGGAATTATTTTCAAGACTTTAAAACACATCTGATGTGAAAGTTTCTATTTTTGCTGTGGGGTGGACATAGGAATTCTTTTTGCTTGGATGGGGATCAGTAGGGACTAAATCCATTATCACATGAAGATTTAAAAATATGCCTCTTCAAACAGAGAGGTGGTATTTGCAGGGAGTCTCTTCCTCAGCAAAAATGAAATTTACTGTTGGAAAAACTGTACCTGTTTAAATCATAAATGTTTCTTTATGTTGACTCATTTCTGGTTTTTCTTCCTTCTTCTCAAGAAAGTCTACTTCATTACATCTGATTTTCCCTCTATATCATTAATAGCTTTTGTATTTATGTATTAATCCTGTTGCTAATCCAGTACATTAATTACGCTGAGTTTTTTTCTCTCAGCCTCATAAATCTAATAGTGGTGGCCTACTTAGGATGGGCTAATTTGAATAAGCGATTTAGCTTCCTGACTGATTTTTAGCTATGATTTAAATCGGCAAATGGGACTTAATGTTTGCAGTTACTGAATTACAACCTTGTCTTGTATTTTGAACTTATTTTCCTAAACAAATGTTGATTCTTATTGACCAGATACTATTAAAACCTTCTGGATTGTAATAAAAGAAGCCTTTCATATTAAAACTAATTATTTTTGCTAAGCAAAAAGAAGGATGCATTCCTGCTAGCTTATAACTCTTGTGGCTTGTACTAAGTTTGTATAGAACAACAGTGGCATCCCATTATAATGAAGTAAAAAATAATTTAAGAGTATGTGTTACTTAAATCAAAATGTACTGCATAAATACAAAACTTTTTTTAAAAGAAAGTGTTTTGTTTGCCTTCTAATACCTGAGAGTTCAGAGATCTTCTTATTCCTGTGTCACATTAGAAGAGGATATTAGAAAAAGAAACGTTTCCTGCTGTTTTCGTGTCCCAGTTGATTTCTCAGTTTTGAGTCAGCAAGCAAATGACCAGCATCAGCACTATGAACTTAGATAAAGTGATTCTGTACATCTGCAGAAGACTACACAACAGTTAAGAGCTTGGTTAGCACTTCGATAAGCTGCAATTCTTGACTCTTAGCAAAAGATTAGTGCCAAGAGTGTTATCAGTGAACATCAGTGCTTAATTTTTTTCAGTAAGACACACTACAATAAAACTCCGTTTATAAAGAGTCTTAGTATATTCTAGTAAGTCTATTTCATAAAATATAATAGGTTGCCATTATGGATAAATTTTATATGATTGATAGATTTGTTCATATTGTTTTAAATTTAGCACACATGTATTTGAATATTTAAAAGAGCACCCTAAAACTGAAAATCTAAGTCTACACTGCTGTAGAAGAGAAGTTCGTTTGCAGGTTTTGATATGCAAAAACACAACATTGTTTGCACCTTTGCTTCTGCCAACTTGATATTGTACCTTTTGTTTTCCCATGTATTCTGTAGCATGTGAAGTGAAAGTTCCAGAAATATTTTAAGATCTTAACATTAAGGAGTGGAACAGACCCATGCCAACAGTTGTTTTTAACCTAACTTTTTTTTACATTTTGCTCACAACTTGGAATTAAGCCATTGGTCTTCAAAACACAGTTTTTCATACAGGACAGAAGCAGAGATTTCTTGAAAGCTATTCTTTGGAGGTTTGCATGCTGCTCTGTACTATGCATGCAGCTGTGCTCTGAGAACTAGTGACAACACAGGGCATTTCCTATGATAACTAAAGTCAGTGCATGTGATTGATCAACACACTAACTGAGGTCAGAGAATCTGCTTCTTTTGTAGCGACATAAAATTTCTGATTTCAGCAGGACAAAACACAAGACCTTTCAGATCTAACAGAGAAAGAATATTCTCTCCTGTCTGGCGTAAATTTTTTTTTCACTGTGGTCAGATGCTTCTTACTTTATATACTTTTGTGCACTTCTGAATTCACAGTGACAGCTCAGTGAGATTACTTGTGAAGCAAAGTTACTTCACTTTCAGAGCTTTAGCTGCAGTACTTGCTTGGAAACAAATGCCAAATATATTTTTCTTTCTTCCTTTTTTTTTTAGTATGTATCTTTTATGTCTCTAAGGTTTTCCATTTCCATTTTGAATTAAGGATAGATGTTCAAAATAAAACATCAAGGCAATATTTTGTTTTTTGTGAGACTGTGTTTGGAGGTTTTTGAGAGTATCTGTTGTGTTGCTAAACCAAATGGGAAAATTCAGTAAAGGATTTAGCATATTTTTATACTTGCTTTGTATTTAGGTATTTGTGTTGTCTTAAAAACGAGAAACTCATTCCTGAGGAAAAGATCATTATTAACAACACAAAAGGTACAAAAGAAAGTATGGTTGAGGTTGGAAGGGACTTCTAGAAGTCATCTTGCCCAACCTCCCTGTTCAAAGAGCAAGTTGTCCAGGACCATGCCACACAGCTTTTGAACATCTCCAAGGATGGAGATTCTGCAACCTCTCTGGACAACTTGTGCCCAAGTCACCCTCACAGTAAAATAAAGCTACCTAATGTTCAGGCTCCCTGAAACTCCTTTGCTCCTATTTGTGCCCATTGCCTCTGCTTCTGTCACTGGGCTCCACTGGCTAGAAGCTGGCTGTGTCTTCTTACAGTCCCCCTTCAGATATTTATATACCTTTATATGTTCTCCACTTCAGCATTCTCCTTTTCAGGCTGAAAAGTCCCAGCTCTCTTGGCTGTCTCACAGCAGAGAAGCTTAATCACCCTTGTAGGTCTTTGCTGACCTCACGCCAGCTCTCTTTAAGAAGTTGAAGTTTAGATGCAGAAATAGAAATAACAGTTTAAAACTATTCCAGCCTATTTCATGCACTTTTGATTTGTCTTCCAGCAATTCATGGAGAACAGCAGCGTTACTGCTTGTTACAATGAACTGGTTCAAATAGAACATGGGGAAGTACGATCTCAGTTCAAATTACGGTATGTAGAAGTGTGAGAAACTGCAAACATCAGCCTCTTGGGGTAAATAATTGTATCATGTTACTTTCTGCCTCTTCCAAGCTATGCTTATGTGTGCCTTGCATCCATATTTTTACTGTACCATACTTCTATATTTCCTCCTTCTGATATTTTGTAAAGGACGAACTCAGTACTTTAAGTAACTGGTACCCTGAGAAATCTCGGTCAGTGTAGGTGTGGGCTGCAAATTTACGCGATGGTAAAACTTTACAAAGTCATTCTTGATCTCATGTGTCTGAGCCTTCATATTTGAAGGCTTGAACTGAATGCAATCTTGATTCAGCTCTGAGTTTTTATTTTCTTGCTTGGCCAAGACTTGGCAGACCAGGAGCAGTTTTATGTTTCTGAGAAGTTAAATTATGTTCATTCCCACATACACTTTTTCTTTAATGTGACTAATTCTATATTTAATACAGGTGCTTTTGCAGGTACATGGATATTTTTGCAATGAAACCATATGAAACTCTAGGAAAGAAATGCAGAGAAGGAGCTGTTATCTCTGTGGCATAAATTAATTCCAGTTCCATCTACAGAAAATACTATCACATTTCTATAGGTTTCAGTGTCTCTGTTCAAGAAGTTGATTTTTTCCTAAGATTTTTTTTGCAAACTGATACAAAGTGGCTTCACATTTTGAATGACTGCATATTTGCAAACTGCAATTACAGTAAAATTTCAGGGAAAAAATTGAATTTTCATTTATACAGTTTTAATAGTTGTTTTCCTAAACTCAGCAGGAATGTCTTCCCCTTACCTCTGTCTTATTAGGCAGATGCCATTAAAAACTAATCAGAACTGATACATTCAGGTATGACATTCAGGTATAATTTTTTTTTTCATTTGTGTGGTTTAATTAAGTGGGGAAAAGTGTTGCCCTGCACGTCTGTACTGCTTGTTGCAGATCTATTGTATACAGCTCTGTAAAAGTGAAAGGGAAGAGAATGCAGAAATTTAGTTGATAGAATTAAACTCAGGATATGTTACATGTTCAAACACAAGAGAAATGTGATGAAAAAGTAGCACCAGCCCCAGAGAGCAGTAGATGAGGTCATGTCAGTGGTCACAAGTGGCTTTCCATTCCTAGCACAGACTCTGCTTTTCCACCCAACTGGTTCTGGTTTGAAACTTGGTTGGACATCTGTGTGCTCATTAAAGGGGATATGGGCCATTTAAACTTGTAATTTTGCTGGCTTGCTTGCCAGATCAAATGAAAATACTAAGGCTTGAATAGTGCAAACATAACTGTGTGTTTTCTTACAGAAAGTCGATGCAATTACATTTGTTAGCAGCTGATGTACCAGACAGGCATCTATCACTGAGACAAATTAGTTCCTTCACACAGCACAAAATCACACTTGGGAACTAGCTTGAATTGCTAGAAAATCACATATAAAATTACACTCTGAGCTCCTTTTATTATATGAGCAGAAGCACTTCTGTCATCTTCTGTATAAAATACTTTTTTCCTACAAATCTTCATTCACATGGCAGCATGTCTGTGTTCCTTTGTATGTCTCTTCGTTTTGAGTTGCTTCCACAATAAGCAGAAGTAGCAATGTCCTGAATTTCTTAATTCTCTAGTCAGTGGCACTAACTCAAACCTTAAGACGCAGCCTCAAAGGAAGATGTTCCTTTAAGGTAATAACTGTACAAGAATGTTTATGCATGGTGCATTTTTGCTCCCTGCAATGGTAGTTATATAAAAGATAATTAGGTTGTCTTTAGACCAAAGATGAGGTACTGACATCTATCAAAGCAAGTATGCTTGAGTTGTTTCTTCTAGTATTCATTCTTCCAGGCCATAGTAGGGTCTTGGAACTACATGATCTTCATGTTCTTTCGAACCCAAATCAACCTATGATTCTATGAGATATAAATTTTCCCCACTATTAGAAGCCAATATTAACATTATTGCCATCCTGTGTGAATCATAATTTAAGCAATTCGAATTCTACAGCAAGAAAGTAAAGCTTTTATTTTCCTGCTTTAGTTCAAGGACAGCCCTGAAAAAAAAAGGGTAAAAAGATCATCTGGGTCCTGAAAGATCAGGATGTACAGAAATCAAGTCACTGCATTATTACTTGGAAGAAGGAAAATTTATATTTTTTGAACTAGAATTTTGAGATGGCTCAAATTTAACTTTAACTGTCTCCTTTAACTGTGTTGTATTACAGTTTCTTTGGTAGCGCCAATCCCTTTGCTGTATTGAAAACTTTGTATATATCTGCTGTCATGATTTTTGTGTTCCCAACCTTAAACGATCACGAAACTTTCTGATGTAAGAGTAATTGCAATTTTTACTGCTAATTGTTAGCTCCTGCTGTTCAGAGCATGTGCGTAGATACAAGCATTCTCTTAAGATGCTGCAGTACCTATGAGCACTTTTACAATGTAATCTGCAGTAAAAGCACATTAATAACAGGGATGTCTGAAGCTGGATGTTTTGAAAAAGTCGTAATAAAGATAGTGACATGGTCTAGTCAAAACAACTGCTACTTTGTGGTTCACCTATCAATAAGTCAATTTAATCACGTATTTATAGCGAAGAAAATGTTCTAACAATAAAACTAATGTGCTAATCATTTGCTACTTTCAGGGCTTGTAATGCAGTGTTTACAGCATTAGACCATTGCCAGGAAGCTGTAGAAATAACCAGTGAAGATCATGTCATTCAGGTAGGGGAGGAAATGTTAACTATTTTACAGAATTTGAAAAGAGGAACCTCAAAGAGATCTTGGCTCAGTAGTTCCTGTTATATATCAGTATTTTAGTTTTGCTGCCCATTAAAAAGCCTTCTGCAATGAACTGCTTAATTTCTGGTTGCTGCACACAGAAGCCTGGTGAATTTTTAAGACTTTTCTTTCTGTAAGGAAGACTTTCCTTTAAGACTTTCCTTCATTTAGATTATATTTTTCAGTAACGTTGTTTCTGGTAAAACCTGCATTAGTTCTCTTTCTGGGACTTCTGAGAGCGTACATATTGCCTTCTTTGTCCAGCTTCTTACTTGAATAAAAGTAAGTTTCACTATTACATAGTATTTTTATATGAGAAACACTGAATTGTGTGAGTGTGTGGTTGGGGCTTTAGCATATAACTTGTCACACTTCTATACTTATATATAACTTACTAGCCTATAAATAAGTTCTTCTTGATATTGTCCTAATGTACCTTTGTTTTGGCAGTATGTTAATCCAGCCTTTGAACGGATGATGGGGTATTGCAAGGGAGAACTTATCGGCAAGGAGCTCACTGAACTACCTAAAAGTGACAAAAACTCTGCAGATCTTTTGGACAACATAAACACGTTTATTAAAAAAGGAAAGGTAGGTAAATAAAACAAACTCATGTGAAATTGCTATAGAGTTCTATTCTGATTTGTCTTTTATTGCTGTAGGTTTAAGAACACAAGTTGTGTTCTTCATGAGTACACATGTAAGACCAGAATTCTGTTTCTCAGATGTCGATGTCTAAGCACAACAGCCCATGCCACAGAAAAGTGACTACATTTCATTAGCTTTGCTTTTAGGATCTGACTGAACTCCTGCTGATTTGCTGGCTTAAGATCAGTATCAGAATGTTTTCTGTTTCTGTTTTGCTTAGAGCCCATGGAGCTTTTGTTAGTTGGAATGTAACAATTTGTCCCTCAGTCAGTCTCTCAGGTGGCTGAATCATCCAACCAAAATTGTAACTTCTGTCAAACAGTCGAGCCTTCACAAACTGCATACTTGAAGGACCAAAATGTATGGGCACCCAGTTGGGTGCCAACTGCTTTCCTAACAAGTATAGTTAGAATATCTGCAGTGCTCTGTGAACTCCTGTCCTTGCAGTGATGGGCCTAGCAAAACGTTCCCCTAACACATGCAACAGTCTCTTATCCCATCTCCCCTGGGCTGCAGAAGTACCTGTTGCCCTTCCCTGTCTCACGTTCTGCTTCAAGACCTTTGGGGAGTTCTTGAACCTTTGAGTCACATCCAGCAATGATCTGAGCTTTGTGAGTCATTGTCTGGAGTTGTTTGCTGGTTCACCTTGGCTCATTAGCAATACCTACAAGACACTCCTGCTGTTCTCCTTCTCATTTATATGGGCTGCCCAGCAGCTAGCACTGTCTGCTCAAAGGTATCTTCTACTCATTTTCCAACTTCATGCCACCCTGCTGCCAGGTAGTTCCTTCCTTAAGATCTTTCCTCTTTGAGTTAGTTGAAGGACATCTTTAGATCAAGGACTTCTGAAATTTAGCATATATATCGCATGACAACTGACAACTTCAAAGCCAAACAGTGCTTGGCACAGGGCTAATTTTTGCTGGTGCCAAGGGAAATCCTCTGGATATGTTACAGCCATTGCTCCTTAGGGTGGCACCTAGCAAGAATGTTTGTCACCTCTTTAAGTAGATGATACCTAAAGTTCCTTGTAAAATTATAAAGATTCTTGTAGAAAAATAACTTCTCCCAAGTGGGACATAATTATACTGTCCTTATGTTAGTTAAAGGTGCTGCTCTCCATTGGGTGAACAGTTGAAGCTCGCTCTGTCTCTCTCTCTGTGTTATACTTCAGAGTACATTAATTTTATACCATTTTTAAAAGGCAACCATGAAATAAAAATAATAATTCAGTACATAACGACTATGCAGTAATAAACAAATAGTTGACTGCAATAGCTTGCAGTATGCTCAGATGCTGTCTCTGTTTTGTACGTTTCTTTAGGAATGGCAAGGAGTTTACTACGCAAGAAGAAAATCAGGAGACAGTATCCAGCAGCACGTGAAGATAACACCTGTGGTTGGTCAAGGAGGGTAACTAACTTGTCCGGAACATAATTGCTTTCTGGGTTTTAGGGCCTTCTCTCTGCTTTCTGCATCTGTAAGTTTGACACGAACCTCCATGTATTTAGCAACTGGGCAACCCCCATGTTTGTGTGTGTGCTTGTACATGTTCCCACCTTCGCAATATAGAATGGACACACTGCCAAATTCAGCTCCCAGCTGTGCGCGAGAGTTCTTGGACCAACAGAAGGATCAGGTGTCCTGGGACAAAAATCTCCATGTTATGTTTAAGGAGTGCTTGTCACCCAGTTGTCTTGCTGTTGTTGGGCTTGGTATCTGTTTTCCTGAGGCTTGGAGATCTCTGCTTTAGAAAATAGTAATGTATCACTTCACTTCTCTCTTTGCAATTTGATATGGTAACAAATTATTGTTTCTGTTGCTAGGAAAATAAGACACTTTGTGTCCCTCAAAAGGCTGCATTGTACCAATGAAAACAACAAACAGGTATTTCTTTCATGTGATAATTTTCATAGCTTTTAACTGAACTGGTATTTTTTGGTTTATAAATTTTTCCAAGACCATGTGATCTGTAATGTCAATTAGATTCTCACTGATTGCTGGAGCAAGCAAGAAAACTTCAACATTTGTATGCATTAGTCTCTGAGCATTCCTCTGGAGTAGAGGAAGACCATCTTTCATTTTCTGGAGCATGGATATGACAGTTGAGTCCATGATACTGTGGAGCAACACAGACCACAATTCAAAGGGAGTTCAGCCCTTTTCTGTAGAGCTGTTTTTGCCAGCCCTTTTCTGTAGAGCTGTTTTTGCCAGTCTGATCTGGTGTACTTACGTCAACGAATGGCCTGTGCTCAGTGGTCCCAAGGTTTGACAATGTGTGGTACCTACATGAAGTATAGCCCTCATGCTGGCCCTGAGACTTCACACACTTGCCAGAACAGGTGTTGTGGAGGGGTGTAACTCAACCTGAGGGTGTTACTCAAGGGTGTTACTCATGACCTGAGTAAACCAGCAGTGGCAGAGCTGGGTCTCTACAGACCAGACACAAATCCACACCAGCTGCTCCTGCAACAAACCTGGTGGTGTAGGGAGCCGTCTGCTGTCATCTTCTCCTGGTTTCCTCCCTCTGACAGTGTCTGAGGCAAATGATTATATCACATACTTTGCCCCAAAAACACTCTAGTAAGTGCCCTGTAAAGAAGTCTGCACTTGTGTGAGCAAAAGAGTGAAGCCTGTCTTCAGCACGTGGTCTCTAGGGATGAGATAGGAAGTGGGAAGCATAGCAAGTGGCTGGAAACATTTTAGACCAAACATGTGCCCTGAAAATAGGATATGTTTCCATGTTGTTTAGGGGAGGGGTTTTGTATCTTGTTTTATTTAGAATTTTGTGTGCTTTTACCTGTGATGCAGGTAAAGACACTTGGGCAGGAAAAGTATTTAAAAAGTCAAATTTATAATTTATGTCTAGTTGCCCATTCTTGAGTAGAACAATACTGACTATTAACACATTATTGGAAAACCACTACTGCTAAAAGAATTTCATAGATGGTAACATTTGACTGTTGAAACCATCCTACTTTAACAAGTTTTCGTGGAGGTAGGTAGTAACAAATCAAGGAGAACTCTGCATAAGTCTTGGAAGAACTTTGCATGTTTATCACTGAAAAATAAGACTCATAGTATTTTAAACTGACTTCATCTTTGAACTAAAACATGTATTTTAGTATTTGAGGCCAAGTATCATTTACAGTCATTGGATGTTTTAAAATGCTCAGAATAGAGTGCAACAGAGTTTTATAATAAAAGCAGTGATAAAGTCACATGTATTTCTTTTTAATTCATTGTTTAAACCTCATTACTGTTGCTTCATTTATAACTGCTTTGATGTTGACTTTAAAATAAGACATAATCAGATGGCTTTTTCTATATTATACACACAGATGAAAGACTGGTACAGGGAGGGCTATACATGACATTCTTAATACAAGATAGTAAGTATTACAAACTTGTACCCATATGTAAAAAACAGCAGTAGGAATATACAGAGTCCTTCATTCTCCTTTCCCTGTAGATTGGGCTGCTTAAACCAGTAAGAATCATAGAATCATAGATTGATTTGGCTGGAATGGCAACTTAAAGATCAACTAGTTCCAACCCCCTTGTCACAGGCAGGATCACCTTCTGCTAGACCAGGTTGTTCAAAGCCTCACCCTACCTGGTCTTGAATTTCCTGGGACAGGGCATCCACAACTCCTCTGTGGAACCTGTTCCACTGTCTCACCATCCTCACAGTAAAGAATGTCTTCCTTATAGCTAGTTTAAACGTACTCTCTTTCAGTTTAAAACTATTCTCGCTTGTCCTATGACTACACACCCTTGGAAAATTTCCTCTCATTTTCTTGTAGGCCACTTTAGTAATTGGAAGGTGCTAAAAGACCTTCCAGAGTCTTCTCGTCCGCAGACTGAGCAGCCCCAACTGTCTCATCCTTTTCACGAGAGGTGCTACAGCTCTCTGGTCAGTTCTGTGGCCCTTCTCTGGATCTGCTCCAGCAGGTTCATGTCTTATGCTGGAGGCCCCTCCAGCCTGTTCTGGACCCTCAAGCACTTAACACCACGAAGCTTGGTGTCATCAGCCAATCTGCTCCTGCTCCTGATGCCCGTCTGTGTCCCTGACAAAGATGTTATGTAACACTGGCCCTAGTGCAGAGCCCCGAGGAGCACCACTCATCACTCCTCTCGATCCAGACTCCTGGACATTGGCCACAACTCTTTGATCAAGACCATTCAGGAATTCCTTACCCACTGAGTGATCCACCTGTCAAATCCAGGTCTCTCCACTGTATAGTCAAGGGTATACATGGAAGCATCAAATGCTTTGCACAGGTCCAGTTAGATGACACTCCTTTATCCACCTGTTGCAGTAGGCCATCAAATATGTCAGGCATTATTTGCCCTTAGTGAAACTGTGCTTGTTGTCACCTTATTTTCCATGTGCTTTAGTAGAGTTTCCAGGCGAATCTGCTCCATGAATTGCAGAGCACAGAGATGAGACTGGCCTGTCATTCCCTGGGTTTTTCTTTTTTAATCTTTAGAAATGACAGTTAAGTAAGTTTCCCTATTTCCAGTCACTGGAAACTTCACTGGACTGCCATGACTTCTCAAATCTGATGGACAGTGGCTTAGCCACTTCCTTCCCCAACTCCTTCAGGACTCACAAATGCCAATCAGGTCCTGTGATCTGGTGCACCTTCAAGTTCCTTGGATGTTCCCAAACCTGATCTCCTACAGAAGGTGGTTTTCATTTTCCCAGTCCCTGCCTTTACCTCCTGTGACTCAGGCAGTATATATATGTCTGGAACACTTGCTGGTGAAGACCAAGGCAAAAAAGTCAGAGAATACTTCAGCTTTCTATGTGTGCCAGGTAACCATATCCCCTGTTTCCTTCCAGAGAGGGACCACATTTTCCCTAATCTTTCTTTAATTCACCAAGGTACCTGTAGAAGCTTTCCTTGTTGTCCTTTACATCTCTGGGCCGATTTAATCTATAAGGCTTTAAATTTCCTAACATGATCCCTGGGTCTTCAGACATTCTCTATATTAGTCCCAGGATACCAGTCCTTGCTTCCACCCTCTGTAGGCTTCCTTCATTTGTTTGAGTTTGTCAACAAGTTCTTTGTCCATCCACACAGGCCTCCTGGCATTTCTGCATGACTTCTCTTTGTTGTGAAGCATCACTCCTCAACTTGGAAGAGGTGATCCTTGAATATTAACCAGGTTTCTTGGGCCCCTCTTCCCTCCATGGCTTTATTCCATGGAACTCTACCATGCAGCTTTGTGTAGAGGCCCAAGTCTGCTCTCCGGAGGTGCACAGTAGTGAGTTTACTGTGTGCCCTCATCAATGCCCTGAGGATCTTCTACTCCTCCATTTCAAGATTGCTGCATCCCAGGCTGCCCTTGAACTTCACGTGCCCCATAAGCCTCTCTTTGTTAGTGAGAAAAAGGGTAGTTAAGGAACAAATCTTATTTAAGGACTTGTGTCCAAGGCAACATTCATATTCTCCTGTACTGCTCACTCATTCCTGTCTTTTTAGTATTGGTCCACAAGAAGCTACTTAAGCACTACAGACCTGGGGAACTTTACACACTTGGTGATCCTAGAGAATACGGCCTTCACAAGATTCTCCACAGACATAGAAGTCTGCCACAAAGGTCAAAGACCACAGCCTAACAGAACATATGGTCTGTGGAGATTAAAGGTCCCCTGGGGAAAATAAAAGTGTATCTGACAGAATTATGTAATTGTTCTGTTTCACCTCTGTCACAGAAATATCTCATGCCTGTAGGAGATCCTGGATAATGCAGTTTTCCTAATATCCATGCCTTAATACTTGCAGCAGTAGAATTTTTCCTTACACTAAAAAAATAAGGTTCTTTTTCAAGTAACAGATAAATCTTTATGGAAGGATAAAAGGAAACCAAATGGAATACTTACTTAAGTTACAGAGCAGTAAAAGCTGTCATAATTCAAATTTTGATGCAAATGTCTAATTTTTCACTGCATCAACATAATTTTAAATAGCTTGATCTCAGCAGACAATATATGTTGACTTCAAAACATCCTTACATCATTATACACTGTTTCACCTTAAAAAATGTATATGTGTTTTTTGCCAGTACCAACAGCCTCTGTAAGGGATATAAGAGACCACTGGAACATTCATGTACTTCCATGCCAGATTTATCACACAGAGAAACCTAGCATGTTAAATTCATGCATGGAAAAAAAAGAACATTAAGCATTCTTACAGTGAAAATTTATGAATGGGGATTGACTTTCATGTGACTATTCACATATGCTGAGCCTAGGTAATTATTAATGCTGCCATTGTCAATTTGAGACCTGGCAGGATAGAGTCCAGTGTTTTCACATTCATAAATTTACAAGAGATGTGTTGTTTCTTTCAAGAACATATTGACCCAAGATTAACTGTGTAACTACCCTCATAACTTACCTTACATGGCTCTTTCAGGTCATGCCTGCAGAAGGGGAAGAGAAGTATTCAGAACAGAAATGTGGTTTATTTTTTAGTAAAGCATTTGGAGGACGAAAGATATATCCATTGGCTTTAAGAGAAGCTCCAGGCTAAGTCTGGAACAAGCCGTTCAGATGCCTTGTATCTCATATTTGATGAGATTTCCTTAACCTCACTCTGTTTGGATGAGATTATTTCTCTCAGAGTTTCCATGTGGTTACAAGAGAGGTGTTCAAGCTTTCAAAATTTTTTTGCATGAAGAGTCACATCTTACACTCCCCTGAACAAGATTTATATGAAGCATGAGCAAAGGGTTTCCCTTTCCTGTTTTTTAATTCATTACAAAAAGCCATGTCTCAGTTTTGCGGGTTTTTATTCCTTTCCATTTTCTTCTCTTTTCCTTTCACCCTCTTTACCTGCCTCCCCCCAACAGCAGAAAGGAAAAAAATGAAAGGTGTGCAAGAATGACAGAAAAGAGAATTTATATCATTCCCTCCCTTTCTTTCCTGAATAATCCCCATGAGGGCCCTGCAGCATGCACTGTCACAAACTGATACAGACACTAAGAGCACACAAGTACTACTTTGTCATACTCTCCTTTTAACTGACAGGTTGCATTCATGGTTTTCATGCTTCCATGCAATCTAGTGCTTTGCACAGGGAGGTGATGGATTTGGTCAGAGGAACCAGTCACCATATGACAGCAATGGACTCCTAAATACTATGTGTACAGAATAATGTGTAATTACAGTGTTAAGCACTGACAATTATTCACCTGAAGTCAGAGAGTATGTGTATCTTCTCTAGTAACTACAGTAATAAAAGTAATGCATTATTCCTAGTCTTTCTATGTGACTCTGTTAGCTATACTTACATCACACACCAATTTTCAAGGGATAACTTGAGAAACTGCCATTTCTGGTCAGTTTTCCTATTAACAGCAAAGTGCTTTCTTCTAATCATATAACAAAGGAAAGGGGTGAGGTAATTAGCAGGTATTAAACTGTCATGAACTGGACAGTACTTTTGTTTTTGAGAAGAATGAAAAAACAGAGGAACATTTAATCTGTGTTATTGCAGACCAAGCAATGCCATAAATTGTAATTGATGGAAATATCCTATCTAAACTCTAAGAAAACTTGAAAGACCTACTGTTGGAGCTACCTAAGATGTTTCAGAAGCAAAAAGAATTAAGATTTTGTGTTTCATTTTCCATTAATGAGAATTATTAAAAAGTACTTGGAAATAAAGGTTTGATGAATGACATATACCTCTACCCCTTATTTCCTGGAGAGTAGTTTTTTATAACTGAGTTTTTTCAAGTCCAGTTTATCAGTGACCCATGAAAAGATGCAGTGAAAATCAGCTTCAATAGTTCCAGGAAAATGATTTTTAAAGTACAAAAAGTAATGTTGTAGGATTTTTTTATTTTATTCTTTCAGGTTCATATGTAATTTGCACTTAAACACTGCCTAAATGAGTATCAGTTCTCTTGTAAACACTGGCGTCAGTACATACAAGCACTTGTATCTGTGATTTTCTGCATGGCACATGTGTTTCCTCTCATATAATTTCTCTACATGTAATTACACCTGAAGAAGAGTCTTTGCCAAACAATTTTTTTAAAATAGCTAAATGGAAAGTGCTGGATATGGGCAGTATTGAATGTACTGTTTAAAGGGTTTTTTGTATTGTTTTTCTTACATATATATTTTACTCTTACCTCCAGCTCTACAAGAGTCATCGTGAGGATAAGAACACAGGAGACAATTCCCAGTCAGGTGAGAATATTATCATTTACCTCCACATTCCTCTGTGCTGGAGGTGGTGTCAGGGTTCTCTGCTGCTGTGAATTGTTGTCTCTTCTCCCTGTCTGGTCAGCGCTGATGGCCAAGGACAGATGCCAGCTGCCTCTGATATCACACCATGGATTGGACTTGTAATCATCAATAATTGAGTCACCTGTGAAGACCTCTTGCTGTACATTTGAAGTTCAGATGCATTGCTCTTTGTTGTATTAAAACAGTGTGATCCCACGGCTGGTGAACCTTGGCACCTCTTTGTGTTTGAAATATGGAATGTGCTGATTTGTGCCAGCACACCTGCCACAGTGTCTCCAAGTTTAGGACCTGCCAGCAGGCCATTGGTTTGGCCCCAGCACAGGCTAAGACAGTTGTCCAAGATGTCCAGGCCTGAGTAACTCAGTTCCAGTCAGCACTGAATTGCTGCAGCATGTCTGCAACCCTTGTCATGTGTCTCAGGTAGGTTTGTTTACTAGCAGACAGCACACTCCAGCCTTCCTTGAATTTTGCAGAGAGCTTTTGACTACAAGTGTGGAGCATAAGGGAATAATCCCTTCCTGTGATGCTAGGTAGCATTTGGAATACCACTTTTCTCTGAGGAAGGAGGTACTTAAGGCCAATTTTAAGCTTGTGACTCCAATGGTCTCAGCCAGACTGATGTCTTATGAGTGAAAAGGTTCTCATGCCTTGTTACCTTCTGGGATCTGAGGCCTTTCCTGCAATGAAAGGTGAGACAACGCTGCTGTGCAACTTCAGGCACTCACATGGGAGGAGGATATAAGATAATAAAAGCATGGGACATGACTCCTTGACATCCCCTGCTCTTTCAAGAAGCCTAAGAATACATACAAACATCTTAGAGCTTTGTGATGCCAAATAACAGTGGGCAGGAGGAAGAAGAGACAATATGAAATTGGCTGCTTTCATTCCCATTGCTGCCACCAGAATGGATCCACAGTATATTAAATCATTTGCTCCTGTATCCCTGTAATAAAAGCAGATTTTCTTCTCACTGTTTCTTTCCTGCAAACAGGAAGGTGAGAAAGCCCATAAATTAAGCAGGACACTTGTTATTAATTAACACATTTATATTCGCTTACTAATGTTTTAGGTTTGCTCATTATTGTGACAAGTTTCAGCAAGACTGGGAAGCTCCATCCTACAACAACACATTGATGATTACAGTGCAGTGAAAGTAAGCAGTCTCAGAGCATGTGATGTAGGTTATCTTTCCCTGCAGTCCATGGCTGTGCTCCAAGAGTAAATTTTCAGAGCCATGGGCATATATCAGTATGTGACAAGGAGAGAAAAGTAATCCATGTGTATCGTGCTGTTTGCAGTGGTGTGATTCAGAAAAATCTGGATGATAATATTTTTCTGCTCACCAGGTGAAGGAAAATTTTTACGTGGGCATTTAAATATTTACAGATGAAACCACAGTATGGCAGAGAGTAGCTTTTATGCACCTGTGACTCTCTGGGTGGTACTGGCAAAGTTTCTGACATGCTAGTTGGTATTCAACACAAGGAGTGTTGTTTTGTCAGCTATAGCTACTCACAGCTATGTTTATGTGTAAACACTTGCTCCCACTCAAGTGCCTTATGATAAACACATCCAAATGTTAGTGCAAGAATGGGGTTTGTAAGAGGAGTACTATCAAATAAATAAATGAAATGATTCAACATGCATTAGTTATGCCCTGCTCTTAGGTGTCAATAGAGGAAAATGCTTTCAATTTCTCCTGTTCAGACTACAACAAAGAAGACCCAAGCTGTCTTATAAGTCTGTGGTAGAAAAAGAGGCTTGAGACAGAAACTATTTCAGTAATTTTTAGGACGGGTGACCTAGTTCTAGAGAATTTTATGTTAACATTTGATTTTTCTACAAAGAGGCTGCATATGTCCTGTCTTGTGACATCATCATGAAAATTGGTCTTTATGTCAAGAATATCAAAGTCATGATACTTCTGATTCTTCAAATGGTTTTATCTGATTTTGAAAGCCTGCTAAGGTCTCTGTTCCTTAAGTGGCATAGGTACTACTGGGAATAGGTACTACAGAGACTCTTGGGAAGTGATGAATAGATGCACGATTGCTGTTTTCAAACATAAGGGAGAGTGCAGACCTTAATATTTTGGAGAAAAATGAAATTTCATCCGAATTTTTTTTTTTTACTCTTTCCTGGCATTACATCCAGCTTTTGCATTTAACTGCATGGGATAATTTCTCTTGCTTTAGCAAACAGCAGTTTCAAGAACAACAGTTTGTTGCATGGCTAATATTCAAAAGAAATAAATGGATGGTTTAATCATTCTCAGCATGTTGGATTTTCCTTAAACACAGGGTACAAGTAATTATTGCAAATAAAAGCAAAAGTTGTCTGAGTCCAAACTATGCTTTGGCTTTAAGAGTGTAGCCTGAGATGAGACTCTTCTCAACTGGCTAAGGTTTTAGGGAGTTAAACTCAGGCTTGTTCAGTGGTCAGAGGAGAAAAAAAAGAACTCGCAGAGTTCAGCCCACCTGCCTGAGACATCTCTCCTGAAGCAGCATCTCTGATAACCTTAGATGATGACAGCCCGCAAGACTGCTGCTTTTAGGGAGCTAAGTTACGTGAAGCAAGTCTCCTGTTCCATACAGCATCTTGACTTCCTTGCAAGACACCCTTCCAGGTGACTTCAGACAAGTTGCTTTAAATTGATAGACACTGAGCTTCTTGTTCTAATGTGCAGAAATTGCAATACTTCCCCCCCTTATGTGATATTGTTACGATCACTTAATTAAACTTCCAAAATTTTAGATGGATATTTTGTAGAGTTTTTACTTGATGCATTTTTAAGCTTTTGTTTTGTACTTACAGAATCCGGTTCTTACAAGTGCAAGAATAGAAGGAAAGACTCAGCTGATGTTAAATCAATAACATCTCAAAGTAGTGATGGTAAGAACGCAAACTGTATGTACAATACTATAAATATACATGAATATATATTTATAAATAAATAAAGAAAGAAAGAACAGACTTGGCTTAGGCAGTAAAACTGCTGAACAAAAGAACAACTAGACAGATTCACAGACTAAACAGAGATTACTCCATTTCTTTATAACAGCTGTAAAATTTCTTTCTGATTTGCAAAGCAGTGCCCCGGCATAAGTACCAGCATTGCTATAAAATGCATGGCAGCACTGAATGCCTTCATAGGGAGGAGGAGTGACTGTGCCAATGGATAGGAGCAGCTTCCTAAAAGACTGCATTAGAGCCACCTCTGTTAGAAAGCTGCAGCTTGTGCTCCTGAATACATATTTTTGGTTTATTAATGTTTAACATGAAGGAACCTATTGCTGCTGGTTACTTAAGAGCAGTACTTCTACTGATCCCATTTGTGACTGCTTACTGCGGTGGGACAATGGTGGCAGAGATTTCTTTCTGCCCATGTGTGTAGCAAGGGAAGCACTCATGGGCAGCATGGTTTTCATCAGAGCACCTGCACCATCAAAATGAGGGACACACACAGGAGGAGTAATGTCTGCTAGAGATCCATTGCAAAGGACATGAACCATTCTGAAGTGAAGGTTGGATGGAAAATCTGATAACAAAAATGAGAGGTGGCTGCCAAGAAGGCAGACAAGTACAAGAAATGAAACAGTGAAAAACTTGCAGGGGGAGAGATGCAGGAGAAATGGGACAAGAAGCTATATTTTGCTGTGCTGTGCCCCGGCTGTCTGCACTCTTCAAATGCTGCCATCTGATTCACACTCTCTGATTCTCTTTAATGGCAGCTCCAAGTTTACAGACCCGACGGTACTCTTCAATGGCACGCATCCATTCTATGACAATAGAAGCTCCTATCACAAAGGTGAGTCCCAAGGACTGACCTTTCCACATACTCCAGAGTTCTGAGTTGAGCTCATAGGAATGTACATAGTTTCTGGACTAGCAGAGGCTTCCTTCACTTTGTATTTAACAAGGTAATGTAAATAATTTAGTTTTTTTTATTACCACTTTCTACATCTCATCATGGTATCCCAAATGCTAGTCATAAGGGAGAATATTAAGGAGAGGAGAAGGGTGCCCATGCAAGATGCACAGCTTCTGGCAGAAAGGGGACACTGATCTGTTGGGTCATAAGTGAGTAGGATGATGTTCTTCCAGTCTTATCTTTGCTCTCACTGCTACCATGCAGAAGAGGGAGCACCTGCACCATCTTCTGTCTCCCCCACTTTCTGTGCAGCCTTTCTTCACTGTGTTATACAAATTCTGTTGTCACAAATCAGCTGCACAAGCACTTGTAACACACCAGGGTCTCAGGTATATTCCACTTTCAAACAATTTTTCCCCTTTTCTTTTTCTTTCTTCCTTTTTTCTTTTCTTCTTTTCTCTTTGCTTTTTTTCTCCTTTCCTTTCCTTTCCTTTCCTTTCCTTTCCTTTCCTTTCCTTTCCTTTCCTTTCCTTTCCTTTCCTTTCCTTTCCTTTCCTNCTTTCCTTTCCTTTCCTTTCCTTTCCTTTCCTTTCCTTTCCTTTCCTTTCCTTTCCTTTCCTTTCCTTTCCTTTCCTTTCCTTTCCTTTCTCCTTTTTTTCCTTTCCTTTTCTTTTTTTCTCTTTTTTTTTTTCTTTCTTTTTCCTCTTTTCTTTTCTCTTTTTTCTCTTTTCTTTCTTCTTTTTTCTTTTCTCTTCTTCTCTTGCTATCATCAAGCTCTTGCTTCCCAGCACCACTGTGACTGTAAGAGCAACTGGCTCCTTTTCCTTTCCTGATCCTCAGTCATACCCGCAGGGAGGCTTGTAGTGGCTGTACAGCAGTCTCTGGCTCCTGGAGAAGACAGCACTGGGACTTTCTTCCTGTTATTCTTGGCAGAGCCAGGAGCAGTCATTGGTACATTTCTGGATTGTGGCTGAGGCACAGTGTGGGTTTCAAAGAGCCATCCTCTTCTCCCACAGTTCAGCTCTTTCTGCTCTCTACCCTTCACTTCTACATGGAGAAAACTAAGGCTTTACATCTAATATCAGGATATCTGAGTCACATCCAAGAGCTTGTTTGTTTGGGTTTTCCTCCAGGGACTGAATAATTTGTTTCAGAGCAGACCTGAATATGCTGAAGGTCTGGGACATTGGTAGCTTTTGGTCCACTCACCAGCAACTATTTCAGATACTTCACACCATTCTACTTCCACTTCCCAGGAGCTTTCCAGTTAAAAATAGCAGATGGATACCAGGAAATCTGAGCACAAATTTACATTTTCAGAGTTGTACTTCAAGGATTGTGGGGAATTACATTGCATTTGATGAGAATTAGCATAATCAAGACAAGAATAAAAATTTTGTAATAAGAAAAAAATGCCACTCACTTTTCTTTTCCTACCTCCTTAATCTGCTTTCAGGTTATTAACATAATTAATGCTGCCCAGGAAAACAGCCCAATCACAGTAGCAGAGGCTTTGGACAGAGTCCTAGAAATCCTGCGGACAACAGAACTCTACTCCCCTCAGCTAGGTACCAAAGATGAAGATCCTCACACAAGTGATCTTGTTGGAGGTCTGATGAATGTAAGTAAAATTAGTAAAGATGAAATTGCTGCTACCAGTGTCCTACATCACAATTCAGTGCTCTGCTGTGCTAAAATTTCACAAGCAATGGGAAGGGGACTTGTAATTCATCACCATTTCATTTAAGTGTTTTGGCCTCTTTACAGCAGTAATGCAGGATGTAGTAAGCTATGGCCACATCTCAGTCCGCTGGGGGCACTCATCCTCAGATACAAGTGACCAGACCTGCCACCACAAACTATATCCAATCTCTCAGAAGATACTGAAGGAGATACTTTAAAGAAACTCTAGAAGCTTACAAGGTTTTGGAGGGATTGCTCCATAGCTGGTCCAGTGTATCAGTGAGGTTGCTTTAACCAGCCTCTGATTTTGGTCCCATTAACAGCAGCAAAAGACAGACTGCTTATATTTTGTCATGGATTTACTCATTTTTAGTAGAGCTGATCCCCACCAAAATAATATAAAGAAAATGAAAAATAAATTATAATGACTGATTTGAATGATGAAATCCTGCAGGTGCAAATGAGAGGGTCAAGAAAGGCAATACACGGTGTATTTAATATCTTTTCTGAAGCTCTCATACCAGTGTTCTGGGGATCTTTTCGTGTTTATTTTGAATGACCTCAAAACAAGGATTATGCTATAGTGCCGCAAAAAGAGCAGTGCTTTTAGTACCCACGAAAATTACCTAAAGTGAATGCAGTGTTTTTGCAACTAGTGATTGCAAAAAAACTAAGATAAACTTGCTTTCTTTTTCAGGATAGCTTGAGAAGACTGTCAGGAAATGAGTATGTGTTTTCTAAGAGTAAGCCACCATTTTAAATCTCCCTTTGCACATGTGACTTCTTTTGTTGATACTGCTAACATACAGCTTCAGGCTAATTTGCAGTGGGATATATGTCTCTGAAAATGGTTGTCTAAATGACTGTGGCACAGGTGCTAGGCTGCCTCTATTTTGGTGATGAAACAGGCTCAAATAATTAAAACAATGCATTTCAAAATGTTAGCAAAAAACCAAATTGTCAAAGAAATGTTCACACATCTTTTTGGTTTATGTTCAAATGCTCTGTAATAAACCTTTCTATTATAGGCATTTATAGACTTTTTCATATAAGGAAAAAAACCTATTTTTCTTGAAAAAGAGTTGTTTTCTAAATGGAATTCTGAAGAGGGGCTGTGGTAGTGTAGAGGGAATAACCCAGAAATGTGTTAATTCCCAAATTCCATTTTAACAGATATGAACCTGAGCCATACTCACCTTCCAGTGCCAAACACCATCAATGATGTTCCACCTTGTATTGCACAGCTCCTAGATAACGAGGAAAGTTGGGACTTCAATATTTTTGAGTTGGAGGCTGTTACAAATAAAAGGTACTGGACTCCTTTCCCTGGGTGCTCATAGAAAGTCTCCTGAGGAGCTTGTAGGTCTGGAAAACTGAAGCAAGACACAGCAAATCTGTGAGAGCTGTCTTGCTTGACTCACATCCACTCTGTCCAAGTGACACTGTTCAATGCAGTCTGATGTTGCCACATGCTGGATGCACTCCAGATGGCCTTTTTTCTTGTTCATGTGCAAATGATCAGACTGGAAAAAGCAAAGCTCTCCCCTTCCTCACCTAAACCATCCCACGATTTGGGAAGACCTAAGACAACTGTGGCTTTTGATTATAGGGATAAAAAAATGGGATGGAGGATAAAGCAGTGATAGGATCAACAGACTGGGATTCTAAAGCTTATAATGAAAACAGACGTCAGTAGTTTTGGGGTCATGCAGACCACAAAAATAAGCACGTCATCCAGAGAGATAAGTTGTTTTCATTCCAAGACACAAAGAATCAAACAGACTACCCGTTCTTTTGTACCCTCTTTGCATAAAATGGCCATTTTTGAAATTTGCATTTGCCTGGTTTTAATCTGCAGATGCTGGGGTTTGGTTACGCCTTTCTCAGTTCAGAGGCTATATAGGTCATCTTGCAGGACTGAAAAATATAACCAATGGATAGGACTCTCTCACAGGCAACACAGAGTAAAAGACAACAGAGTGGATTTGGATTTAAGAATCAAGAAGATTAGAGGTTTTACTCTGTTTACTGTTTCACACATGGGCTTCCCAGCATTGCACAAACACACACACACACACACAGAGCACCTTACAACTGACGTTTGACCTTTTTTTTGGCTTAGGTCTTTTTAGCCTTTGGCATGTGCCCATGTCACATTCAAAGTCTGTTTTTTCTCCTCAGGAAAAATTAAATGGAATTTGGTTTCACTGACAGATATTAAACACAAAAAAATGGGGTTTTAAGATGTTTTTTCTGAAGCCACAGCAATTGTTGCAACTCTAATGAAACTGTACCATTTCTACAAAACATTAAAATAACGTCTGAAAGGATGATAGATACAATCATTTGTAACCTTGGCCAGGCTTTTTAGAGGTTATAGATACACAATTTAAAAATGTTTAACTTCACCCACCCCCTTTTAGAAGTCTTGGTTTCTTTGTTGAATGTATCGCTTTCAGAACATTACAAACTCCTATTTCACACCAGTGCTTTCTTCTTCTATTGTTTTTCAGGCCATTAGTGTATTTGGGCTTAAAAGTTTTTGCCCGGTTTGGGGTTTCGGAGTTTTTAAACTGTTCAGAAGCAACGCTGCGGGCATGGCTGCAGGTCATTGAAGCCAACTACCATTCCTCCAACTCATACCACAACTCCACGCATGCGGCGGATGTCCTGCATGCTACTGCCTTCTTTCTCGGGAAGGAGAGAGTTAAGGTAGAATCATCACCTAGGAGTTCTTTGGGCTAGGATTTCAGCATGTTTGCCATGTGTGTCATCCAAAAGTCAGATGTTTAAATAATGGTCCTGGCTTCATAAACTCTTTCTGTCCTTGAAGTATTCCTGTGATGCAAGCAGGCCCACACAGTTTCTCTAAAGACTGTTTATACAAATTTACACTTCTAAGTAGCAATGATGGAGGCGGGGAGGGAACTTGGCCTTCTTCTGTCTCTTCTTAACTGACTGTAAGTAACAGCTCTTAATGAAGCTTCGAAAAAGCTTTGGAGAGGGAGGTGTGAGCTATTCTCCCTGGTACCCAGCAACAGGTCACATGGAAAAGGTTCAAAGCTGTGCCTAAGGAGGTTCAGATAGGACATTAGGAAACATTTCTTTATTGAGTGGTTAAATACTGGAACAGGCTTCCCAGAGAGGTGGTTGATGCCCTAAGCCTGTCAGTGTTTAAGGGGCATTTGGACAATGCCCATAATAACATGCTTTAACTTTTGTTCAGCCCTGGTCAAGTAGTTTGGCCAATAATCATTGTAGGTTTCACTTCCAAGTGAAATCGTCTATCCTATCCTATGGAAGGAAACCCCTAGGTGATTTATCCACTAAACTATAAGATATTGCAAAGATATTGCTCAGGTGACAGCAGTGTAAAAAGCTTCACTAAAGAAAGCACATTTGGATAAGGGTAGGAGTGGAAATTTTGTGGTAGGTAATCTGTGGGCACAGTGAATGGAAAATGACTGCAAGGAGGTAGGATCCCTGTTTAAGTTAACATTTATGTAATTGTGGGTACCTGGAAGTTATTAGAAAATATTTACTGTAGTTTTTGTGCTACATTGTACTTTTTCTCTCTTCCTGTAGGGAAGTCTGGACCATTTAGATGAGGTAGCTGCATTAATAGCTGCTACCATTCATGATGTAGACCATCCTGGACGGACCAACTCCTTCCTGTGCAATGCAGGCAGCGAATTAGCTGTCCTTTACAATGATACAGCTGTATTAGAGAGTCACCACACAGCACTGGCATTTCAGCTTACAACGAAAGACAGCAAATACAACATTTTCAAGAATATTGACAGGTGTGTCTAGTGGACAAGGGGAGTGTCCACGTGTGGACTGCTTATTTGTTTTAGTTTGGGGCAAATTGAGATCCTTCCTTCTAAACAAGAATGCACACTTTAAATACAGATAATAAAATTTAATCTCTTCTAGAATCCTATGTAGGTATGATTTATAAAAAGGTTTTCATTTGCCCCTCACCAGCCCTGTCTTCCAACTTGTAATTATTGGAAGCTTAGAGAGATGTTTAATAATCTTTCATTAATTACATTAACTTCATCCAGTTAACGGCCTCAAGGCTGCATCTTGGCCCACTGCCTTTTCATTGAAAGAACCCGGGCATTACTTTTTTGAGGTATGTTTTACACACCAGCAGCTAGATGCTGCATGTTGTGTCTGCACAAGGTCCTATGCATCACAGCACTCCGTTCACATGGAATGGGAAGGGTGGTAGCAGAGGACGTGAAGCTCTGGGAGAGCTGGAAGCTCCCCGTGGTTGGCTGGGCATGCAAGTAGCTCAGGAATTCCCATTCCATGACTCTAGTTTTTGTAAGGACAAGGTGAGAGAAAGAGCTCTGAAAGGGAAAGAGCCTGACCCCAGAAGTAATTGATCTGTCTACCTCCCTGTTGTTTTTGAAAACCCTGAGATTTGCATTCCAAGCTAACACACTAACATACAGTGCAATGGATGCATTGGTGCCATTCCTGGAGAAGTTATCTTAGTCTTACAGCATTATGAAACTGAGATGTAAATTTTTGTTGACTTCATAGGATTGATTTTTAATTGGGCAAAAATAAGAGAGCAGGGGGAACTTAAGAGAGGCATGATCTTGTCCATTCCTTCATCCTTAGACTGTTCCTAACTCTGAAGGTACCAGCTTGTGGCTGAGCCCCTGAGCAGTGTTTTGTAGTGCTATGTGGGCAGGGATGAGGAAAGTGCAGAGCTCTGTCTGGCAAGCCTGTAAGCAAGAACTCTTTCTTTCCTAGAAATCGCTACCGAACATTGCGACAGGCCATTATTGATATGGTTTTGGCAACAGAGATGACGAAGCACTTTGAGCATGTGAACAAATTTGTGAACAGTATCAACAAGCCTATGGCATCTGAGGAGATCAGCCCACATGTAAGTGCTTGCAGGACTTTATGTCTTCAGGCATTTCAGTGAGATTCTTCCCAGACAACCTTAAGTATCATTTTCATTCACCTTGCATTAATTTGCATTGTGGCAATGCTCAAATGACATTAATGGATTTGTGGTCTCATACATTTAAGTGCGAAAAAACATGCTTCTTCTCTTTTCTGCTCTTAGCTAATTTAAACACTTCATTTTATAAGCTCTGTTCAAAGCCATCTTGTATTCAGGAAATATATGGACAGATGTTGTTTTACATGGATAATTCTGTGCATGGAGCCAGGCTGTCACCTGTTCCTATGGTCCTGTCTCCAGTGGGATTTGTATGAGCCTAGGGATGTAACTGAGGAACCTCCTCAGAAGTTTTGTCTCTGTATAATCTGGAGCCTTCAAGCCCTGAAGAATAACTTCCTGAGACCTCTACACTCCTGATTGTACCAAGAGATGTCCAGGCCTTTTTGCATAACAGTACAAACCCTAATACTCCACCAAGGTTTATTTAATAAGCTGCCTCTGAGTTTCCCATCCCCTCTTACCTTCTCTTGCTGCCTCTCGAGGCTGACAATCCAGGGCCTGACCAGGTTCTTCAGGGTAGTGTTACCTGAGGAAAGACTACCTTAATGCACCTTAGTGAATATAATGCTTTGTTGGAAACATGCAAAAAAAATCAGACAAGATCAGCAATGCTAAAACCAAACAGAAGTATTTTCTGTTAGCTATCCAAAATTGGACTTTGTACTGTCATGGGTACCATTCACAACTTTAAAAGACAGCATTCTGCCAGCTGAAATTACCTGCTTCTAGGGACTGCTGAGCTCCACTTTCCCAGCAATATCAGCTGGAAATCACAAATGCTGCTGAATTTATCTCACAATAAACATGGAAGACAGAACCACTTCCACTACAGACTTCTTGTTTTCCCTCAGTATTAGGCTGATCTGTTCTTCAGTGTTAACAGTGGCTCTTTCTGGATTTGGTCTTGAACACAAGTTAAGGTACAGGGTTAACTTGACAGTTCTTTGCTGGGCTACCCATCTGAAAAAGGATAAACTGCTAAATATAAAGTTAGAAGATAAATGCCTAAATTGGCAAAAGTCACATCAAAGTATTTCCTCAAAGCTTTTCCAAGCTACAAAGATACAAATTTAGTTGTGGTGGCTAAAAGTACTTACGTTCAGTTTTTGACTCAAGAGTTGAATTTAGCAGCGAAGGGACGCCAAAATCCCGCAAATTTATTATTTTGAGAATTGCATTAATGCCATGTGAGCAAAGGAAGAGGTCTTTCATTACTACATAATATACCCATGCCTTTCTAAACTGCTTAAGACCCAGAATATGATGCCACAGCAGACTGGGAACAACTTACCTTGTCACCTCCACCACGTCTCCAGAGAAGTCAGTAAGAAGTTTGGTATTTTACTGTCTAGCAAGCAGAGAATTTCTGCAGTCTACCACTCCTGTGATTTCTTACTGTTAATCTCATAGATTATGTAAGATTTCACCCTCCCTGGCAACTGAGATCAAAGATTATTCCAGGTTGAAAGTTCAAAATCTGGCACAAAGAAAGCAGTTCTACTTGGAAACATGCTGGAACTGAATGTCAGAGAGCTGTTTTTCTGTGTGTAAAAGAAATAGTTGTGCCAGTCAATCAACAGCCCCCTGTGCATGCCTCAGTTTTCTCATTTAGGAATAAAAATCTAAGTCCAGAAACTCCCTATCATCACATCCCCTACATCTAAACATTCATAAGTGTGGACTGTTTACGAGCTTGCAGTTGGTGGATGCATCCCCTATCATGGTCCTCTTCCAAGACGGCCAGGGTGGGATGCAGAGAAGGTAACATCCTACCTGATAAAGAGCCTGTGGCACCTCATTTCACAAACTTTGATACTAATTTTGAGAATGTCCACAACTGTAGTATGTATTTGGGTTATCATTAGTTACTTAGCAAGGCTCCAGGTCTCAGACATCACCTTCTTCTCCAAGTTCCTGGTGCTCTGCATGAAATTATAAGGCAGCAGATTGGGTGCCTGCTTAGTGCCTAAGTCCAGTACAGCTGATACATCTGTGATCTATGATAATGATGCCCTCGCTCCTGTTGGCAGGGAATGCTGCCACTGGCCCCTGTAACCAAATCTCCTTTACAGAGTGAAGGAAGCAACACTGAATGTACAGCCAACATAAAGAATTTTCCAGACAACCAGACATTGATCAAGCGCATGATGATTAAATGTGCAGATGTAGCAAATCCATGTCGCCCCCTAGAGCTGTGTATTGAATGGGCAGGCAGGATTTCAGAGGAGTACTTTGCACAGGTACGTATATTTTTATGATTTAACTATTATATTATGTAAGGAAGAGCACATTGGCTGATCTGCTGTTCCACACAGGGTCTGTCTAGTGTCACCACAGAGTCCATATGAATGGTTTTTGTTTGTAGTCTACTAACTGTAGTCAGTTAGTAGAACTGGCCCCTCAATTTCATGCACAAGAATTCAACTCAAGCAGTTAGCTAGTTTGCTTATCATGAAGCTCACTGTACAGAATAGTGGAAGGGAGGTTTTACACTTTCATTATCTGATCAAAACGATTTGATTAGTCCTACTCAATTTAACCGGCTGAAATTTAAGATGGTCAGCACTCTAGCTTCTTGTCCCAATACCTTCCCTGAAGACCCATACCTCAGCTGAACTACTGGGATTGCCCTTTAAGATGGAACCTGAACTACTATCATTGTAGGCAGAAAAGTAGTGCAGACATGTGGGCAGTGTAAATACATCACATGGGATGTCTCCAGATAGTACTGGAAGCTCAGCTTGCTTTCTTCACGTTCAGTTTTTCTGCTAGAAATGCAAAGAGCCTAACTCTTTTAGCTCTTTAATTAACAAATGATAAAATAACCAGCTTTAATTTGCCAATAATGGTATGGAAATAAAAGCCATGAGTAGACAGAAAGAAAAGCAGGCATGCCTACCCTTCAATTCAGGTCACATATGTGATAGTTACTACTGAAAGAAAATTGTAGCTACTACCTGAGACATGTCTGAATTTCATTTTAATCATAGAGAATAAATTCTGTCGTGTCCTAAGAAAGATCAAAGATCACTTATGTTGTATCTTCCTAGCAGTCAAGGTATCATAAACTAGCTTTAAACTGCCCAAATTAAGCACTAGCCTACTTGCAACAATGTGAGGTGCAAAGAGCTGTTCTCCTGTTTATTCACCTCTGCTAATTTTGGAGACCGCTCTGCTGCCAATTTCTGTATTAACTGCTGCCTGTACTATTTAAAAGGGGATGTTGTTTGGAATTACATTCTAAGAAACTGCTACAGATCTTACATCACAGTGAGTGCAACAAAACCAGGCCTCTTCCAGTTGGAGACACAGAATTAAAGGGCTTACCTTTACTTCCATTCATCTTATAACCTGATACAAGCAGAGGAAGTAGCCTCAGCAACAATCTCTTCTTATTTAAAAGACAAATGATTTGTAACATCCATTACAGATGTGGAAAAACGAGAGATCAAACCTATTCTCTGCTGAAGGACTCTACAACCCCATTTTCCATATTTTTAGCTGGTGTACCCTAATCATGAGATTACAGTATTCTGTCTTGTTGGAACTAAGCGCAATCACAAGGCTGCAGTAGTAAGGGTACTTGTGAAAGGGAAGAGATGTTGATTTCAGTCCCTGTTCCAGACAAAATAACACACATGAAAAGAGGCAGTTCATCTCAGGGGGTCTAAGGCTTGTCTCAAATCTCCTATTGCAATTCATCTAATGCCCTGACCTCTGCTACTCCACCATGAAAGTCAGCAAAGCTCTAGTTGCTAACTGGAGTTTTGTCTTCTTAGACTGATGAAGAGAAGAGACAGGGCCTGCCTGTTGTAATGCCAGTATTTGACAGAAACACCTGCAGCATTCCCAAGTCTCAGATTTCCTTCATTGATTATTTTATAACAGATATGTTTGATGCATGGGATGGTAAGTACTAATTTTTCTTCCTTGCTCTGACACAGAGATTCCTACAGTCCAAACTTACTAATCTCAAGGTGGCCTTGCGTCCACTTTTTTCAGAGGCAGTACCCATATATAAGAAGTAGAGCACAGGATATTGTGCAGTCATGACACCGAAGCCTGTTTCACTGCACATTATGAAGCTGCGCACTTACCAGGCAATCTATGTAGACAAGCTTAATGGCTTAAAACTATACTTTTTTATCATCTATGTATTTTTTTCCTTTAGCATTGTATTTCTTCTGAGCAGCAGAAACTAAGACCACCATGGCTGCATGCTAGAGTAATTTAATGAAGTCACCAAGCATTTGGAAAGGAATTTTCTTGAAAGAGAAACCACTAAAAAAAAATCTTTCCCCTTTTAATATTACTTTAAGGAATTAGAAGAACAAAAGAGAGTAAGAGAATGTCAGTTTCAGATCAGGCTGGGCTGTTCTTCTTCCCATTCTATAAACATGGTAAAACTCTTTTTCCTGTTCTTTCAGCATTTGCACATCTGCCTGTTTTGATGCAACACTTGGCTAATAACTATAAACACTGGAAAACACTGGATGATTTGAAGTGCAAGAGTCTCAGGCTCCCATCAGAAAACAACAACTGACACTAAGTCAAGAAAACTAGACCTCTTGCTCTACCAGTTTCACTGTGAATCACTTACAGAAACTCTTGGCTACAAAGGGGATTAATGTTGCTTTTCCAGTGAAATTAAGACTGCGTGACAAGAAGGAAATATTTTACTCATTTTTAAGCTTCTATGAATTCTACAGAAAAATGTTTTTAGAGGCTATATAAACCACAGATGACTAAGTGCTCTTTGGAAATAATATTTTGTGGCAGAAAATGTACTTCTGAAACTAGTTTCTAATACTGAATATGCACTTGTTGAATCTTGTAGTTGATACAACAGTATTCACTAACGCTTCACACAACTGTTTTTCAGAGACAGGGATAATCTAGTCACCAGGAGAGTAAGAACAGCCTGTCAAATAAGGATATAAACTTCCCACTTTTCTAGCATAAATTTGTTCCAATTCTATCAATGTTCTTCAGCTCTCTAAACCATACTTATAAAGAGAACATGCACAGCAAAACAAGTAAACCTTAATAAACGGGATATATAAAAACCCCAAACATGACACCTTTTAAAACAACTTTCTTATTACAGAGGCTCTCAGAGCACCACCTGTTGTTTCTTTTCCATATAAAATCTTGACAGGAGTCAATGTTCTCTAAAATTGATCATATAATACAGGAAAATAAGTATGTTCTGTCTAGGTAGTGCCATCCACATGGTTCTCTGCCATCTTCCAGATGTTATAACACAGGTTTTCACCAAATTTTACACAAAAAACTATTATGGCACTTGATCATCATCCTTTTTTATATAAACAGTATTTGTAAACATGGTCATCACTTTTATTAAATTGATAAATTTTCTGACAAGTTCATTTACTGTGCTAGTTCTAAGATGAACCTATCACTTTTTTAAAAAAAAGTTTCCGGAGTATAATTTATAAAAGCATTATAATTTGTACTGCTTTATTCTCCTAATAAAATGCTGATTGGTTTTGTGGTGCAAGAAGTACTTCAAAACGTGTAAATCAGTTGGAAATCAAATATAGTTCTTCATTAGTTCTAAGATACGAAATTTATGCTACGGCTTTCAAAGCACAAATGCGTATTTTTGTACATCTCATTTTAATCACATGCAGAACATGAGTTTAAATTTTAGACTATTCTCAGACTATTCAGTAAATAACTACTAGCAGAACTGCTGATTTTTAATACTGTGCACTCCAGGCTGCAAGCAAGACTGTCAAAGCTGTGGCTGCGATTAAAGAAGCAGTCCATCTACCCTGTGCTGTATCAAAAATCAAACCGGGTAAAGGAAATGGGGAAAAAAAAGCAAACAGCATAGATTGCTATGGAAGAATAGCAACAATGCTGTTTACTGCACGTAGCTTACATATGTGCCAACCTTTTTTGTATGTTTTGTACCAAGTTCTGAAACAAAAGGCAACATTCATAAAATGTATGTGCAGAAAAATATATAGAAGCTATATTTTTGTTAGAATTGTATCAGATCCTTACTTTTGTCATAGCCAAGGCCAGTTGCTGTGTATTAAAATGCCACATCGTGTATACTTGAAAAATGGTGTTTCTGGTGAAGCATGATTATTCATTCTTTCCTATTACCTATGGCAACATTTTTCAGTGGATTTTTATTCAGAGAAGTTGAACTTCTGTTTTTTAATACTGTATACTGTTTGCTTCTACCATTTCTTTATTTAGAACTAGTGCTCTTGGTGGTTGTACTTTAACTATTCTGATAACTGAACATTCACTGCAGTTCGCATTAGAGAAAAGAATTTCCCAAGATTTAAGCTTTGTTAATTTAATTTGTTAAATATAGCAACATTGTAAGACCACATCCATGTAAAACATTTCATTCATATTTTTGTCACACTTCTGTCATACAGAACAAAATGTCAACAGTGGAAGGCATCAAAAAATAAAGTTCTACTTGTGAACCAGAACTGAAGCCCAGGAATTAATTCAGAATCAATATATTTGCTGTAGGACCTTGTGTTTCTTCCCAGTCAGACGAAGAAAAAAAAAATTGTGTGGATATAGGTCCTCTTTAAGCAAAATAAACCAGCACTGATTAATCATCATTGCCAGTTGTGTCAGATCTCCTAAACTAGTCCAGTTTACTAACAGCTGCTTGTTTCATGCTGTTGTCAGTGCACAGACATAACATAGCCACCTCAGAGTTGTAAAAGTATTAAGAATAGGTCCGATAAAGATATTTACTTCCATGACATGAACATACGGAATTCAGTGCTACTGTAAGGTGGAAAAAATTTTGGACATCAGTTAGATGTAAAAAGTCTCATCTAGTCACTGTAATTCAGCTCACTGCATCTCCCAACAGCAAGTGACAAACTCTCATTTAACTAAGGATATATACCTATGTTCTTTGTTACACTCAAAGTTCATTTGTAAAACAAAGAACTCAGTACTTTTAAGTCAACCATCTTTAAAAGAAGAGACCCTTGGGAGATCTACTGCCAATGTAGTCTATCTGAGAACAATGGCACTTTTGATAAATATAAATATTCATACATGCATGTAGGACTATTTAAAGCTGAATTACATCCGTGTAAAATGCACAGCAAGTTTTGTGATTAGAACTGACCGCTTAAATAGGTCTGTTTCTCTACCAGGTATTCACTTAAAAGCACTCACATAAAAAGGAAATAGTTGTTCCCATGCTCTAAGAAGAGAGAATAAAAATATGATCTTCCTTCTCTCTAGTTATAACTGATGACAGCAGGAGGCTCTCCAAAAAACCTAAGTTTTATATGCTTTCACTGTACAGGTGTCATAACAATGTGTACACACAAGCCTTATATACAACCAAATAGTTATTTCACAATTAAAACAAGGAAAAAAGATTCAAAAAGATTCAAAATGCAACATCTGCTGATGGAGACAAGCTGAAGCAATGTAGACTTAACATGCTTACCTCTCTCAAGTTTAATACCATATACTCAAAGGCATGTTATCCTTAGCTGTAATCCAAATGCCTTTCCTACTCAGGTCAACAGAATAGCCAGCCTTAGCAAAGAACAAGGAGCTCAAGATTTAACAGTTATTTAACCTCCCTGAATTTAAAGGAGAGGGTAATTTAACAATTCCTCCATCTGTTTTGTGGTTTTGAAATATGCTATTTTGAGCTCTATATTCAAGTAAGATTAGCTGTAAAACTTGGCTAACGTAGGGCAAAATTACAACTCAAAATCTTACTGCCCCTCTGCCCTGCTTTCCAGAGAAGATTATTGTCTCATAATAAGACTCATGAGGCAAACGTGGGCTTCTGAGTGGTAGGAGAAAGGGAAGTGCCCACCACTGCTGGGGAAAGCAAGTCTAAAAGGCTTTTTTGGTTTCTTCTAGGAAGCTAGGAGCTTTCTCCTTTTGTTTCTGCTCTTGCGAGAATCTGCTTAGCCCTTTGTTTTAATTGCTCTTACTGCAACCACGGTATCTGAAGTTTGGAATTTCAGCCATGTAGTTTCCTGTACCGAAAACAATTCTCATTGATTCAAAGGGAATAGATGGCTCTGAAAAGTTGCACAAGACTTATTCCTACACCATTTAAGTGCATTTTCTTTTGAGCAGACCTGAGGACAGTGGCACCCCGTTCTACATAGCTTTATGACCACTAAGTTCCCAAACTTTCCCTTCTCCCTAGCTTTTTTCTGTCCAAATGGTAATGTACCACTCATTATCTTGTCCTTCCTCACGCCTTCTTTGTATCAGTTCTAGGTTTAACTTTGCTTCATTTTTTGGTTAGTTGTTGGAGGGAGAGAGGGGATTATTTGCTTGTTTGTCTGTTGATTAGTTTTCTGCTTTTGTGTTCTTGTTGCTATGGTTTGAGCTTTATGTTTTGGTTTACCTTTCTTCCCCTACTCCTGTCTAGCTGCTGGTATCTCAGACTCTTAGTACCTGTGTGCTTAGATACTTATTTTTTAACTTGAAATACTATTCACCCTTACAAACTTAATGTAGAATTTTTCTCTGAAGTCAGACTTCAGCTGATAATTTAGTATTCATATGGCAAAACACAGTTTCACTACTATTGAACATATCAACTCCTACTACTTAAAGTATTTTACTTTCTGAAAATTCTGAAAATGGTAAGGCAAATGGTTTTTATTAGACACAAATTAATTTGATGAATGCATTATAGAAAGATCAAGCTAAACTAATCACACTGCATTCTAGACTTCGTAATGGTGCTGTATAAACTCCAGTAATATAGGCTCATCCAAGTAAAACTGCAGCTACTACTAGTAAAAAGTTTCAACATACCTCAGTTTGCCAAAAATTAGAACCTGACAAACTGGCATTACCTACCTTTTTTTCTTTTTCTTACCATTGGTGCAGGATATTAACTTTAAATACAAAATTTCTATTTGAGAATTCTTTCTTTTGGAGCTTTCTGTTTACACACAAAACTGAACCATCAGTGAGGGAAGTTCAGCTTCTAGAAATACATTATATAAAACAGGAAGCTGCAGATTTCTTCCCATGCCTTCTTCCTGCACATTGCATTGTGGATACTCTCAACTGCTTTAATTATGATCCATCCAATGTATTTCACGATTTTTAATTTTGACATTCACCCATGATAATTTTAAACATTCAGAATAATATTAGAAACTATTTAATGAGTCATCATTACCTTCAGTCTTTCAAGAGAACACCATCTCTGCTGACAGAGCATACCAAAATGCAAAATTCTCCTTTGAGAAGAGTAGCAACTAAGACAAGTTCCAATATAACATATGACATTAAGTGTAAGCTTTACCAGTAGTCAGATTCCCAGTAACTCAGTACCTTTACACTCATGTTTAACACACATCCAGTTTACATATATGCAGCCTGTATTCAAACAATTTAAAGTCTGAGCTGCAAGTCACCATTTTGTGCCAATTTTTTAAATAGTGTTAAACTGCGGAGGCTAGATTCTCGTTCACCATCCTTCCACAAAATAATGAGGTGGTCAGCAGAGCATGTAGCCAATCCCAGTTCACCAAAGTACAGGAACATCTGCAATGAAACAACTATCATTACCATGATGCTTGCATGAGATGGTCAACTTGCTTAATATTTTAGTGTACAGCTGGATTAAACAAATACACGTATCTGAAATGGCTCTGCTTATAGACAGGAATACAAAAGTACATACTGTCTGTATGTCTGAGATGCCATAAAATTGCTACATAAAAACAACTCTTTAAAATTCCTATACAAAAAACTCTTTAGGCACTTCATACTGAAAGACCTCCATCTAAAAAAGCAATAAAGCCTTGGAGACAGGGAAGCTAAAGGACTGTAAATCCTGAAGCAAGTTGTTTTA